CCTCCCTACCCGCTGCATTAGCAGCCGCTGCAACCCCCCTGAGTGACACTAGAGTGGTAGAGAGTGGTGGAGAGTAATGCCGAGAGGTGCAGAGAGGAACATGTGTGCCACATCCCCTGTACAATAAACCCTCCCACCTCATTCTCGTCCCATGGTCTCCTCTCACTGATTCTCACACTCCATCTTCTCTCCCTCATCTATGCCCCCCCGAATGCCTGGGAGTGCGGGGCGACTTGGGAGACTTAGGAGACTTGCTGGGGGACTTGGGGGTCTTAGGGGTTTTCGGGGTTTTGCTACGTTCCTCCTCCTTCTCCTCTTCCTCCTCGTCCTCCTCCTCCTCCGCAGTGCCCACCCACCCCACATACGCGAACAGGAACTCCTTGAACGTGCACTGCCCGTCCGTGTTGTAATCCATCTCAGCTGGTGGAACGTGAGTGAATGTGCGCAAGGAAGTGATAAGGGAAAGAGGTAAAGAGGAAGGAGGGTAAGGGAGACAGTAAAAGAGGCAGAGAGACAGGCGAACAGGAACTCCTTGAACGTGCACTGCCCGTCCGTGTTGTAATCCATCTCAGCTGCAGGTGGGTCAGGGGGAGGGTGAGAATGTGTAAGAGTGAATCCATCAACCCAGCTGGTGAAGAGTTGATCCATCTCAGCTGGTGAATCAGGAGCGAATGTGCGTAAGGAAGTGAGGGAGCAAGGTAAACAGAAAGACGGAGAGGAATGGGCGAACAGGAACTCCTTGAATGTGCACTGCCCGTCCGTGTTGTAATCCATCCCGGATGGCGCGTGGGTAAGGGGGAGCGTGGGTGCGTAAGATTGCGAGCGAGACAGATATAGGGAGGAAACGAGAGAACGTGCACTGCCCGTCCGGGTTGTAGTCCATCTTGGCTGGTAACCCGGGGTGAGCGAGTGTGAGGGAGAGAAAGCGTGTGCATGTGAGAGAGAATGAGAGTAAGGGAGGCAGAGAGACAGGCAATCAGGAATCCCTTGATCGTGCACTGCCCGTCCGTGTTGTAGTCCATCTCGGAGGACAACACCATCAGGAGAAGCACCTGCACCAGCAGCAGTAGAAGACGTTTCGCTACCACAAGCAGCACATCTACTATTCTCCTGTCCCACACCCATAGAGTGCACTCATTCCGTGGGTGTGGGACAGGAGGAACAGTAGATGTGCTGGTGGTGGTAGAGAGATGTCTTCTGCTGCTGCTGGTGGTGGTGCTCCTCCTGATGCAGCTGCTACATGAGATAATGGTGATGAGGGCGTGATTGATTGAGTTGTGAAAGGGAGAATCAAACGAGAACGAGAGCAAAGGAAACAGAGAGATAGGCAAACAAGAACGCATTGACAGATACTGCCTGTCCAGTTGAATCCCATCTCAGAGCTCAAAACCCAACCCTCTCCTTGCACACCCTCCTCGCACGCCCTCCTTGCACCCTCCCCTCTGTAGCATTTCTCTCACCCTCTCCTCTCTCACCCACACCATCCCCAGCGCTCACACGTCTCTGCCCTGGGGAGGAGTGCTGACCGCTGCTCATGGTGTGCTGTACCTTGGCCTGCGCCAGGAAGCTGTTCCCTGTGAGAACCTACTCCCTTACAGCCCAGGGTTGTGTGACCCTACTCCCTCACCGAATCTCTGCCTGGCGATGCGGCTGGGCGGGGAGACTTTGCCGCTGCTCATGGCGGCCTGCACCTTGGCTTGAGTGAGAAATCCTTCATGCCCCAACCGTTTTCCACCACTCTCTCTTCCGGCCCATTTCTCTCACCCACTCCCCCCAGCACTCACCAAATCTCTGCCCAGCGATGCGGCTGGGGGAGGAGTCTCTGCCGCTGCTCATGGCGGCCTGCACCTTGGTCTGCACCTTGGTCTGCACCTTGGCCTGCACCTTGGGCTGCACCTTGGCCTGCACCTTGGTCTGCACCTTGGCCTGCACCTTGGTCTGCACCTTGGCCTGCAAGAGAAAGCCCACCTGCCTTACCCTATTGTCTCAATGTCCCCACCCACCCACCCACCCACCCACCCACACACACACATACCCCAGGTCCCCAGCCTCTCTTCTTACCAAATCTCTGCCCAGCGATGCGGCTGGGGGAGGAGTCCCTGCCAGTGGTCATGGCTGCCTGCACCTTGGCCTGCGTGAGAAAGCCCTCCCCCGTGGTGTCAAAGAAGTTGAACGCGTCTGCTATCAGCCCGAACGCGTCCTCCACCTGTGGTGTACCGAAGTGCGCCTGCAGGGGAAGCAACAAGCGAGCATGTGGCGGGAGTGTATGAGGGGAGTAAGGGAGGAAGGTCTCCCTGTGCATTAAAGAAGTTGAACGCGTCCGCTATCAGCTCAAACGCCTCCTCCACCTCTGGCAGACCAAAGTGTGCCTGGTGAAAGAAGGAAGCACCAACGGAACATAAGAGGTGAGCATACGGGGTGAGAACAGCAGTCTCCTGAAGCAACACATTGCGCCTAACAACCCGCACGTACGTTGGGTTGCAAGAGATAGAGCAGCGCGAGCAGCAGGATGAACGCCTTGAAGTGCATGCCATCACACGCAGAAGTCATTTCCAGTCCCGATTCCGAGGCATTTGAGAGAGAGCAGACGCAAATACCTCTAACGCATGTCCAACACAGCACGTACGTTGGGTTGCAGCAGGTAGAGCAGCGCGAGCAGCAGAATGAACTCTTTGAAGTGCATGCCATCACAGCAGTCCATGTCAGCCTCGCGGTACAGCTGCATCACCTCCTCCTCCTCTATCTGCACGCCCAGCGCTGATAGGCACGTTCGCAGCTCCTCCAGGTCAATTGATTGGCTCGCGTCCTTGTCTGTTGAAGGGAGGGGGGGGGGTAGTGGGGGACACGGTGGGGGACGGGGGAAAAAGGGGAACACGTCCGCAGCTCCTCCAGGTCAATTGATTGATTGGCTGGAGTCCTTGTCTGTTGAGGGGAGGGGGGGGAGGACAGCAGCAGTCCATCCATGTCGGCCTCGCGGTACAGCTGCATCACCTCCTCCTCTATCCGCACGCCCAGCGCCGCCAGACACGTCCGCAGCTCGTGCAGATCAATCGACTGGCTCGCGTCCTTGTCTGTTGTGGGGGAAGGAGGGCGGTGATGGAGGGGGGAAGGGTTGGAGGGAGTTGGAGGGGGATGGTGGGGGTTGATGGGGGTTGGAGGTTGGTGGGAGCTGGTGGGGGATAAGTGCAGGCTCGCAGCTCCTCCAGATCAATCGACTGGCTTGCGTCATTGTCTGCTCGGAGGGGGAAAGGGGAAAGCGGGGAAGAGGGGGGGAGAGAGAAGGGAGGGAAGAGCAATCTTTCACACTCAGCGCGGCTGCAAACTCAATGCGTCTGCGGAGCGTTGCAGCGGCAGGTGTGGAACTACAAAGGCGAAAGATTAGGCTCCCAATCGTGGAACTACGTGAATCGTGGGACAGAAATTGTGGGACCTAAATCGTGGGACCATAATCTCCTAGAATTACGTCCTCCAAAAGTCTAGCTCTCCTATACTCTGATTGTCCTAGAATCTAATCCTTCGAGAATGCGGCTGGGAGCGCGCACCGTACTGGTCGAACTGCTTGCGGATTTGCTTGAACGCCTCGTCCGACTTGGCAAATTTCATCACCAGCGTATTGAAATGCACGATGCGCTTCTTCCCGGAAGCTTCCTCCTCCTCTCTCCGCCGCCGCAGCGCCTCCACCACGCGCCGCTCCACCTCGCTCTCGCTCCGCCGCTCCGCGCCGAGCCCCTTGCCGCCGCTGGTGGACTGCGGGAGAATCCTGGCCGCCCATCCGAGCACCGATCCCATCTTCTTCTTCATCGAATGCGTTCTCGAGTGTTCGCCATGCTCCCCGTCCTTCCCGTCCTTGCCGTCCTTGCCGTCCTTGCCGTCTTTCCCATCCGTCCTCATTCCCTTACCCGCTCCCCCCTCGGGAATCCTATTGGCCGCGGCTGCTAACAGCAGAACTTGGAAAGAAGGAATGGAGCGGAGAAAAAGTTGGTGACAGGAGCTTGCGGGAAAGTCGCTACCCTAGATCGGACGGTACCTGGCACGTCGTCGTTAACGGCTACGATACGCGCACATCTGCAAGACTGCTGACGTTGGAAAGCTGTTAGAATGTGGAGGAGCCGATAGACAGAATACCGTGTGCGGAAAGTAATGAAACTTGTGTAATATTTTAAATTTGCACAGCGACCGACAGGCCTATTAGCTCAGCTGGTTAGAGCGTCGTGCTAATAACGCGAAGGTCACAGGTTCGAAACCTGTATGGGCCAACTTTTGCTGTTAGTTTCCAGATGTTTCTTCCTGATTGGCTGATTCTCGCTCTTGGTGTTATCGGGCCATCCCACCACCAAAACACAGACCTCGGTATTGCCAACCATTGACTGAAGCGGAGTTGTATGGAGGGAGCAGAAGTAGCCGTTGAAAGCTTCTCATCCCAGCCGCGTCCCTCCTCGGTCGGAACCTACGTTCTCTCACGGCATATCTTCTGATCTCAGTGCCTGCCGTCATCCTGGCAGCGAAGAGGTGAAGCCCTGGTCTCGCGTTTAGATCGTGTTTCGATCTCTAACGGAATGGCGCAAGAATTGATGTGCTGCTGAGGAGCCTCACGGATTGGAAGCTTTCGGAGTTATTACTTCCCCGCGTTACGCTATACCGAATCTTCACCTGTGTACATCCAATCACCTGAGGCAGTCCGATGTAAATGCCACGTTCTGATTTTATAGCGTAAAACGAACGCCTGACCTTTCCAGGATGAACGTTTAAACGGGAAGCGCGTATTCACGAACCGACGATCGAAGAGACGTCGAAGCGCAGCGACCATGAGCAACGGCGTGCGAGCTTCCAAGCCGCTCGTCTCCGCAGCCGCTTCGGCCGCGGCTCGAGCAGCGGCGGCGGCAGCTACGCAAGGCCGGCGCGGCGCGAGTTCCTGGATTTCCGAAGCCTTGGCGCCTCCCGCGGAGGCGTCGCACCTGTTCGGCATTCCGAGGCGCGTGGCGATAGCAACAATTAGCTCGATGTCGTACTTTTACATGAACGTCCTGAATCGCATGGAGGTGACCAATCAGCAGACGCTGCTGGATCTCGTAAACTCTCGGCCAGCTGGCACGCCGCTCATCACCGTCAGCAACCACATGGCAACGTACGATTGGCTCCAACCCGCTCACCCGCGCACCCGCCGCTCCCGATCTCCCGCTCTCCCGCTTTTCCGCTCCCCCGCTCTCCCGCTCTCCCGCACCTCCCGTCCACGCCCCTCTCCTCGCCCACTTCCCCAACCCCTCTCTTTTCTCTCACTTGGGGGGGTTGGTTTGATTCGTCTCCATCGTGTGCCCTCCACGTGTCTCTCTTGGTTTGATCTGTCACCGTCTTGTGTCCTCCACATATCTTTTGTTTTCCCATGTTCGCACATTCCTGCCTTACCTGCACCCCTCAACTCACCTGCACCCCGCGCAAATCCCTCATTTCTCCCCTTGCTTTGCCTGTCACCCACCCATCCCATATCTTACCCACCTGCCTGCAGGATAGAGAAACACGAGACACGCTGCTGTGGGGCGGGCAGGGGGGGCTGCGCTGCGCATCACGGATCCCTCGATATTCCCTGCAACCTCATGCTCTGCCTTTCACTCACCCTCCCCATGCTCTGCCTTTCACTCACCCACCCCATGCTCTGCCTTTCACTCACCCAACCCCATGCTCTGCCTTTCACTCACCCACCCCATGCTTCGCCTGCCCGTCCGCAGGATAGACGATCCGCTGCTGTGGGGCGGGCAGAGGGGCCTGCGCATAAGAGACCCCAAGCTGTGCCGCTGGACGCTCACTGCCTCGGAGATCTGCTTCACCGGCCTCCTCGACTCCTACATCTTCCGCATCGGTACGACATCCTTCTGATTCCCGCCCTTCTGATCCTCGGCTCGTGAGTTTCACTTCTGAGGCGCTTCAAAGGTCGCTGGACGCTCACTGCCTCGGAGATCTGCTTCACCGGCCTCCTCGACTCCTACATCTTCCGCATCGGTACGACATCCTTCTGATTCCCGCCCTTCTGATCCTCGGCTCGTGAGTTTCACTTCTGAGGCGCTTCAAAGGTCGCTGGACGCTCACTGCCTCGGAGATTTGCTTCACTGGCATCCTCCTCGACTCCTACATCTTCAGGATAGGTACGACATTCCCTCCCTGCGTCTTCCGCATCGGTGATTTCAATCATTCCCTCCTGATCCTTGATGCGTAAATCTTCAGAATCAGTCATTTACTCGCATTTCATCGGATAACATTCATTAAGTACTTGGTTTCGCCTTTTGATTCGACTCGTCTCAAGCGCTCTGACACATGTCGCTCTGACACATGTTCCTCTGACACATGTCGCTCTCACACATGTCGCTCTCACACATGTCGCTCTCACACATGTCGCCCTGACACATGTTGCCCTGACACATGTCGCCCTGACACATGTCGCCCTGACACATGTCTCCGTGGCAGGCAAGAGCATTCCGATAACGCGCAACCAAGGAGTGTTCCAGCCAGGCATGGACGAGGCTCTGCTGCGGTTACAGCAGGGCGACTGGGTAAGTTTCGCATGTACATCTGGGTGGCAGGGTAGCTTTTGCAAATAGACCTGGGCGGCTGGGTAAATCCTGCAGCTACACCGGTTTGACATCTTCGACAATTTTGTTTGCAACGACATCAAAATGAGTCCGCCTGTTGTACAAAAAAAGGGTGTGTATTGAAGGCGGGTCAAGTGGGTGTAAGAGGAGTATGGAGTGAATGTGGTATTACACGATGCTACAATATGCTATGCCATGAAGTGCCCTTGGAACCCCTTCATTCGCAGCTCAGCCTCTTCCCAGCGGCACGCGTCATTCAGCACCTTACTAGCTTAATCCGCCTCAGAAGTCAAATCAAATCACGTCTAGTTCCAACAGAACCTTCCTCCCCCACCTTTCCCACCCCTCCACGGCAGCTCAACATCTTCCCAGAGACGCGCATCATTCAGTTCAGCAGCACGGCCCCCTGCCACTCCTCAAGTGGTTAACTGGAGTAGCCTTATACTCTTTTTCCTCCCCTTCTCCCCTTCCCCTTCGTTTACAGCTCAACATCTTCCCAGAGGCGAGAATCATACAGCAGCACGGCCCCCTCCCGCGCCTCAAGTGGGGCCTCGCCAGTCTGCTGGACCGCCTCTGCCCCTCGCTGCCCCCGCCCATCCTGCTCTGTGTGGGGCACAGCGGCCTTGAGCGGGTGAGTGTGCACAGAGCAACAAGTCGCTGGGTGATTCTAATGTTGTCTGCTGGACCGCCTCTGCCCCTCGCTGCCCCCCCCCATCCTGCTCTGTGTGGGGCACAGCGGCTTGGAGCGGGTGAGTGCGTTATGGAGAAAGGGGGCGGGATGGTGTTGGGGGGGGGGGGGGGGGGGCGCTGGTCAACGTCCCACTTGACTCGCCAGTCTGCTGGGCTGGACCGCCTCTCCCCTCGCTGCCCCCGCCCATTCTACTCTGCGTGGGGCACAGCGGCCTTGAGCGGGTGAGTTGAAAGAAGGTGTGATTTCGTGTTGAAGAAGGGGGTGGGTAGGGTAGGGGGGGAAGAAGGTATGTGTGTGTTGAGGAAAGGGGGTGAGTGTGTGTGTGTGTGGAGAAGGCCGGATGGGGGCGTGCCTCCTGGTCTGCACGCCACTTGACCCTTCAGTCTGCTGGACCGCCTGTGCCCCTCGCTGCCCCTGTCCATCCTCCTCTGCGTGGGACGCAGCGGCATCAAGTGGGTGGGTGTGCAATGGGGAAAGGCGAAAAAGGGGGGTTTGTCCATACCCCACGTGACTCGAGTCTGCTGGACCGCCTGTGCCCCTCGCTGCCCCTGTCCATCCTCCTCTGCGTGGGACACAGCGGCATCAAGTGGGTGGGTGTGCCATGAGGGGGAGAGCAGGTGAGGGTATTGCAATTGCATGACTGTTAAATGCGGTCTGCGTTGTGCCGTCCCTCATCTGTGTGGTGGTGTGGAGCACGGCGGGGCGGCTTGGATCGGGTGAGAGTGCACGGAGGAAAGGTGTCGCTCACGGGTAATTCCAATGCGCAACAACAAGCAAGCGACCGTTGATCCCCCATTGTGGAACGGCTCGCATTGTAACGTGTGTGAGCGTGCTTTTGAGTCGATGCGAGTGAGGGCAACAACAAGTGACCGTTGATCCTCCATTGTGGAACCAGCGTTGTGGTGTGTGTGGGCGTGGTGGTCAATGGGCGAGCCTCTTCTCTTTCTAACACTTCTCGAATCGCCACTTCGCTCCCCTCCCCTCCGGCATGGAGATTCTCCCTCAGAACTACCGCAACAGCAAGTGCCCGTTGATCCTGCCAGGGAACCAGCGTGTGTGTGAGCGTGGTGGTGGTGGTGGGCGAGCTTTATGGCTGCAAAACTCTTTTCGTCTCTGCAACAACTACGTCTCTCCCCTCACTCCCCTGCATGCAGATTCTCCCTCAGAGCTACCGCAACAACAAGCGGCCGTTGATTCCGCTGTGGAACCAGCGTGTGAGCGTGGTGGTGGGCGAGCCCTTCTCCTTTGACCTCCCCTCCCTGCGCCAGCAAGCCAAGCAGGCCGTTCGGCTTGATACTTCCGCCTCTGCTCACAGCACCAGCAGCAGCAGCAGCAGTAGCAGCAGTAGCAGCACTGATGATGGCTGCAGTGACAGTGACACCTCCAGCAGCAGCAGCAGCAGCAGCAGCAGTAGAAGTATGAGTGACAGCAGACACACCAGCAATGCTGCTTCCGACCCAGCTACCTTTTCCCCCGATTGCCAACAAGAAAGGCAAACAACAGCCGCTTCGCCTGCCTACCCCCTCGATCCCACGTGGCGGCCCCAGCAGCCGACATTTGGCGCTGACGCTCTTATCCACTCGCCCGAGGTGCTGACTCAGCGGTTACAGGAGCTGATGCAGCGTGGGTTACGGTCAGAACGAGAAGGAATTGACCATAGATTGGAGACGAGAGCTGGAGACAGCGCAGGAGAAGGAAGGATTGTGAATGAGGAAGTGAGGGAGGGGAGGGAGGTAGAGAGGAAGGTGGAGGCAGACAGGAAGGCGGAGGCAGGAGCGTTGAGGAGGAGGATTGAGAATGTGAGGGCGGTGGGGAGTGAGGAGACAAGGCGCATGTATGCTCATATGATGGAGCAGGTGCGGCAGAGATTGGAAGCAGTGGTTTTTGAGGCACATGACAGGCAGCGGCGCATGAAGTAAGGGGGTGCAGGAAGGAGGCAGCATCAGTGTGTTCTGTGCAATATGTATGCTCACATGATGGATCAGGTGCGACAGAGACTGGAAGCAGTGGTTTTTGAGGCACATGACAGGCAGCAGCGCATGAAGTAAAAGGGCAGGTTGGAGGTATGTGTGTGTGGGAAGGAACAGGCGCTGTTTGAGATGCATGTGTGAGATGCATGTGTGAGATGCATGTGTGAGATGCATGTGTGAGATGCATGTGTGAGATGCATGTGTGAGATGCATGTGTGAGATGTGCATGTGTGAGATGCATGTGTGAGATGCATGTGTGAGATGCATGTGTGAGATGCATGTGTGAGATGCATGTGTGAGATGCATGTGTGAGATGCATGTGTGAGATGCATGTGTGAGATGCATGTGTGAGATGCATGTGTGAGATGCATGTGTGAGATGCATGTGCGAGATGCATGTGCGAGATGCATGTGTGAGATGCATGTGTGAGATGCATGTGTGAGATGCATGTGTGAGATGCATGTGTGAGATGCATGTGTGAGATGCATGTGTGAGATGCATGTGTGAGATGTGCATGTGTGAGATGCATGTGTGAGATGCATGTGTGAGATGCATGTGTGAGATGCATGTGCGAGATGCATGTGCACGGATGAAGGAAGAGGCATGGCTGAGGCTGACGGCGGTGCAATGGAGCTGGAGGGACACGACAGGCAGGCAGCAGCGGGTGTGACATGTGTGTGTGCTACATGTGTGGATGGTTGAAGACAGAGGTAGCAGCGGTGTAAGCGGCACATAACTGCATGTGGTGGTGGTGGATGAGGCACGGAGTTTGTGCCTCTACGGTTTTGGCTCTTGGCGAGCTCTGCTGACCAGCCGGTTTTGGCAGTGATTGCTTGAATGGTGCATGTTTGTACCGTATGCCATCTGTAGAATCTGTTGGGAGAGTTCCTTTCACCTTTGTCGGTATGGCTGATAGCAATGGGGGTCAGTGTTTGACCAGAGGAGCAGTAGTGTATCGCATGCACACTGGGAAATGAAGTATTGCTGACTGGAAAGAACCAAACCCTGATGCAGCCAGGATTTGTCATGAGCATTACAAAGCATACACAAGGAAATCATACGGGTACCTGTATTCTGCACTTGCATTCACCTGGCATTTACAAGAAGGCATCCATGACAAAAAGGCATCCATGACAAAAAGGCATCCATGACAAAAAGGCATCCATGACATGAAATTAGAGAAAACATACCGTAACTAGATACGCAAAAACAATATCTATGTGTTGCCATTGATCGGCCCAGCAGTACCTCTGAGCCTGCAGCAGCAGACATCATGTGTGGCAGTCAAAGGAGAAACAGAGCCCTGCCCACTCAAAGCTGCACACCCATTCATGAACTGTGCCGGCCCACCCCTGCACACCCAAAGCAGTACTACACTGTACTGCGCCTACGGTATCTAATGCTTGTACCTGCCCATTCAACGCATACAGTCGACAACACGGTCAACCAAACAGTCAGCGTTCAATCAAACAGCACCTCCACCCCTGGAATGTTAAACACATCAAACATGGCCAAATTGCCCGCCTGTTCCCCTGCTGATGAAACACACGTGCTTCACCGCCTGTGAACATCAATCGTATGAGCATCACCCTCCTCCCACCCCTCCCGGAGCTCAATCAAACAGCACCTCCATCCCTGTAACGTTGAACACATCAAACATGGCCAATTCCCCCGCCTTGTTCCCCTGCTGATGAAACACACACGCCTCACCAACTGTAAACTTTGACCGCACATGCATCTCCCTCCTCCTACCCCTCCCGCAGTTCAATCAAACAGCACCTCCATCCCTGTAACGTTGAACACATCGAACATGGCCAGATCACCCGTCTTGTTTCCCTGCTGGTGAAACACGCACGCCTCACCACCTGTAAACCTTGACCGCACCCGCATCTCCCTCCTCCCGCCTCTCCCGTCCCCCTCTATCTCCAACGCCTCTGCTCCAAACCCTCCCAGCAGGTGGAAAATGGAATTGAAATAATCCAGCTGGATAAACCGAGGAGTATTGCTGGCGTTTAAATTGGGAGAGATTGAAGAAAGGGAGGAGGAGAGAGAAGAGCGAGCAGCTGAATCTTCTGTAGCGGATGGAGGGGATGGTAGGACCAGGGAAGGAGTGACCCGTGGAGGTTTCTTCACGCGGGAGAATTTTTGGCCGTGGGTGAATGGGGTCGGAGCACGGGGCAGGCCTTTGAAAAGTTTGTCCTGCCCGAGGAAGACGAGCATGAATTGCCGTTGGTCGTCCAGGCAATCCCCTAGGTAAGCAGCGTCAATGGCGCTCGCGATAGCCCATGCGAAGCCCATATACGTGCCAGCATTCACGTATTTAAAAGGGGTATCTCGGGACGGCTTCGGGTACAAATCTTGATAGAGCCACCAATCAGGAAAGCAGTATTTTTCCGAGCCGAAAACCATCGGCGAACCCAGATCCAGAAACTTATGGATGATGTCAACCGGACGGCAGTGCTGAGCTGGCAGTACGAACACGTCATCAGCGTCGGAGACAATTACTATCCTGTCAGCCGGTAAGGAGTGCAGATAGTCCCTGAAAATCCTGAGCCTGCCACCGAATCCCCTCCACATCGTCTTCAGCCCGACCACGGCTAGCGGGATTCCTGCCACGTGGCAGAGCTTAGCTAGACGGTTCAGATTCACTCCGCACTCCGTGGAGTACACTACCCACTCGAGCTGACAACCCTCCGTCGATCTTCCAGAAAAATCCGTCGAATCCGTCGAACCTTCGCTAGAAGCACACCCGTCGACAATATCCGGGTGGTAGTAACCAGGGACTCTCGAGTATCGCGCTCGTTTCAAGCCTGCTTCTCCGCGTTTCGCGGCGGCCATAGTGAGTTCGGAGCACGGCTCGGGGCGGAGGAAGGGGTGTTGGAATCTATGGATGTGCGCGAAGCGGTTGTAGATGCACGACTGCCATAGATGCACGATCTCCTCCTTCTGCTTCTCCAACGACTCGCTCGTGAAAAAACCGGTCGCGTAGAGACAAGCGAGAACGGCGTTCAGCGCGAAAAACGCTATCAGAAATATCTGGATCGCGGCGCGGCTGTAGCCGATCCGCCATGGATTGGTGGCGCAAGCCATATTCGGACGAAACCAGGAATGACGCTGCTTTTTCAGGCTGATGATCGCGCGGCTCATTACGGATCTGGAGAGAGGAGGTTTCCAGGCCACCATGGCCTGGAAGGCTGGAAGTCTGAATGTCTAAACGCCTGGAAGCCTAAAGATCTAGAAGAAAAGTCTCCAGGAAGCATAGATCTCTGCTGGAAGCTTCGAAGCAGTGGTAGTCCCGCAGCTCTAAAAGTCGTTGGAAACGTGTACGTCTCCACTTATGCTCGCTCAAAAGACAAATCGGCAAGCGATTACAAGAGTATCTCGACCTCAACGCATCTCACGTCACAGAGCCTCCTAAACATGAACGACACCACACGCAAAATTCAAACTGAAAGAAAGAGGCGGTTTTAGAGATCAACACCAGGCAAGGTTTCGTGTGTGTGTGTCTCTCAACGCGGATTGGCGGATTTACGACTGACAGCCGGGGTAATATCAATGGGGTTCTCCCCCCACTTTACACGAAATGTTACTACTAGTGTCTATATCACGGGTTTGCTCACGATACCCAGTGCAGTCTCATGATGGATTTCTGATCCGACTTTCAGTCTAGCGGTTGTTCTGTCCCTCTGTCCTTTGTTTTGGGTTGCTATCTGGAATTTGTCATTTCCGGTACTTTGAGGAAACAGTAGCTTGCGGCCTTGGAAACTTCAGAACATGTACCTGCCCTTTCAAGAACCTGTGTCATGGGTCCAGCGGGAATGCAGGCAGGCGCTTTGTCAGGCAAGAGAAGAAATGTCAGGTGTGGGACCACTATGGTTGGTCTGGAGGCTGATCAAGGAGGCAGAACTGAGGACAACTGATCTGCCCGAATCGTGCTGCCCAACCACTAAAACAACTTTCCCTTCGAGTCGGGGCAGAAAAATATGTGTTCTGGGCCTGGAAAACACGGGTTACCCCCAAAATGTGTTCTCACTCGTGACATATCTGTTCACTGAGCTTCTGTTTCAATGCACACCACCCCTCCATCCCCCGAATCTGCACTTCCCCGCCTTTCCCCCCTGACATTCCGTTTGCGCATCAACACACGGAATCGGAGGTCAACTGGTGTTGACTCCAAAGTTGACCAGCGGGAACTATAGGGGCGCAAGGTCCGACTCTCGCTCTCTCACCTCTTCCTCATGTATTCCCGCCAGCCGAACTTCGCGCTGCCGGGCCAAGAGTACTTCAACAGGCCTTCTTTCCCGCACGTCGAACTGCAGTATTTTCGTAGAAATCGGGAATTGACGTGATTTCCCATCATCCTCCGTGCCGTATGATTCCCTTGGCTCAGTTTAGAATCCAGTGCGTTTACTCCGCAGCTTAGTTACTTGCTCAATTCGATTCCTCGATCTGAACCGTCAGTCACATTTCTGCAACATTTCGCCCCTCTCGTGATACCGTGGCGTTATCGAGACCTGCTGTTACTAACAGTCCCCATTCCCATGGGAAAACTGGTTCACGTCGAAAGTAGTGACTGTGATCGCGGAGAGTCCTCAGCGGAATGGAGTTCCCTCACGTCACTACTAGACGACAACATGCTCTCCGTCGTCCTCTCCTTCCTCCCCTCGCGATTCGCCATCTCCTCGGCCGCCTTTGTCTGCCGCCGCTGGCGCCGCATCGCGCTGCGCGTGTCTGTGCAATCGCTCCGACCGTCGCCCTTCCTGCTCGAGAGCATAGCTCCGGGATCGGAGCGCATCCTTGGTTGTTCCGACTCCGAATCGCAGATGCTCGATTTAACTACGCGATTCGCCGACACGCTCCGGTCCCTGGAGTTCCGTCCCGGCGCACGAAACTTAACGGAATCTGATAACGACAGGCTGACGTGCCACGGCATTGCGCGAATTATTCGAAACGCACCGAGGATCGAAACCCTAACTCTGGTCGGTTGCGTGGAGCACACCTGCCGGCCAGTGGATTCGCTACCCATGCTCAAACCAGACTTCGAGAGGGTGCTGTTACCAGCCGTGCCACGACAGCTCAAGTCGCTGAGTGTGCGCTCCGACCACTTTCTCTGCCCGGTGACGTGCGTAAACCCGCTCGCGCTCGCTGAAGGCGATTCGGAAGCGTTCAAAGAGGAGGAGATAGATGGGAGGACTCAATCTTGGAGATCCGATCTGGTGTGGGGTCATGGGGACGCCACTCAATTCGCCGAGCCGGGCTCGTCCACCCCCACTCCGCAAACCCCTCCGCCTACGTGTTTTCCTGCGCCTCCCCCTCCTCCTCCGCCACCCCCTCCCCCTCCGCGTGTTCCTGCCCCCCCTCCGCCACCCTCTCCCCCTCCGCGTTTTCCTGCGCCTCCTCCTCCCCGCTCTCCCCCTCCGCGTGTTCCTGCGGCCCCTCCTCCGCCACCCCCTCCCCCGCCACGTGTTCATGCGCCCCCTCCGCCCCCCCCTCCCCCTCCGCGTGTTCCTGCGCCCCCTCCTCCGCCACCCCCTCCCCCTCCGCGTGTTCCTCCGCCCCCTCCGCCCCTCCCATCCCCTCCGCGTTGTCCTGCACCTCCCCTGCCGCCTCCTAATTGGATCCCCCCCCCCCCGCGGCCTCCCCCGTTGTGCGCGCCCCATCGGCAGCCCGTCTTCCTCTCCGCCCGCCACCTGCTTTCAATCGCCGCCGCGCTCCCTAATCTCCGCGCCTTAAACCTCGACGCGCCGGGGAATTACACCGCTCAGTCCATAGAGCACATGGCCAGCAAGCTTCCGCGCCTGAGAGCCTTCTCGCTCTGTTCGGATTCTATCACCTGGGAGACGCTCTCTCGCCTCCTCGCGCTCCTCCCGTCGCTGCAGCGCCTCTCTCTCGTCTCCTACCGCCTCGCGCCCCTTCCGCAGTACAAGCAGTGCGAGGCGGCACACGCAGCGGCAGAGCGCCGCGGAGTACGGGCGAGGAGGTCAGCCGATGCAGCTGATAATGCTGCGGCGGCTGTAGAGACATCTCAAAAGTCACCCGATGCAGCTGATGATGCGGCGGCTGCTCTTCTGACTCACCTCGCCTCGCTCGCCGAGGCACCTCTGAATGCCGACAACCCTTTCTCATGCGCGTCAGGCTCAGGGCCCCCCCTGGCGCCGTGCCTCTCCTCCATCCGTCTATATATCACCCCCCATCACTCCGTTGCCTGGCATCTGCTTCCCGCCTCCTCCCTCCTGCTCGCCCTCTCTGCTAACCGCGTCGCCACTGGAGCACAGACCAGCAGCACCAACACCAACACCAGCAGCAGCATCACTGGCAGCAGCAGCAGCAGCAGCGGCGGCGGCGGCGGCGGCGGCGGCAATGGTGGCAGCCAGTGCCTCTCACCTCCGTCCTCCTCCTCCTCTCTGCGCTCCTTTCACGCCCACACTTCCTCCCTGTCCACGTGGCAACTCGTGGGTCCCTTGTTCCGCCACCTCACCACCCTCGATCTCTCCCAAACCGAATTCCCACACTGCCCTCCTTCTCTCCTACGCAGCACATTCAAGATCCCAACTGCGGCTGGCGAGGCAGCTCTCCGTCCGCTGCCTGCCTCTCCTGCAGCGCCTCGCCCTCCCCTGGGCCACAGACGCCCTTCTGCTGCAAATCTCCCACTCCTGCCCGAACCTCACCGCCTTGCACGCCCAGCTGCTAGCTCGCTTCGTCGCGGTCGGCCCGGCTGCTGCCAGGAATCCTGAATGTTACGTTCTCCACTGGCCCTCCTCCTATGCCAGGACGTTTCTCCATGTTGCCCCCCCTCCCCTCCAACCGCTGGTCACCGATGCTGGTGTGGTGGCCCTCGCGAACGGATGCACGCGATTGGTGCAGCTGAGTCTGGGCGGCTGTGAGAACGTGGGGCCAGTGGGGCTGCGCCAGCTGGCGAGGCGATGCGGGCGGCTGGAGGTGCTGCGGCTGGCGCGGACGGCGGTGGACGATGCTGCTGTCGTGGCGGCCCTGTTCGGCGACAGCTGGCGCGGCGGCGGCGTGGGTGGGGCAGTGAATGCTGCTGTTGGCAGTGCTGTCGTTGAAATTTCACCTGAGCGTACCCCTGAAATTTCACCTGGACCCGATGACGCTGCTACTGGTGCAGCAGGCAGTGCTCCTGTGCCTCCTCCTGAAATTTCATCTTCTCCCGACGCCGCTGCTGGTGTAGGCAGTGCTTTCAGTGCCCCACTGCATCTGCAGCTGCCGCGGCTGGTTCTGCTGGACCTGTATGGATGCCCGGGGGTGTCGTCCACCCTCCTGCTCGCTCTCTTAGCAGCAGCCAGGGAGCTTGCTGGCAACACTGAGAAGAGCAGGGACGAAGGGGTAACTGAAGTGGCGGTGGTGGATGGGGGTTGTGAAGAGCAGGAGGAAAATGCGGGTAAGGGTACGGGTAAGGGTGTGGGTAAGGGTGCGGGGCATGAGGAGGAAAGGATGAGGTGGAGTGGGTGCTTTGGGCTGCAGGATTTCAGGCTGCGGCGGCTGGTGGTTTCTCCTGGAGTGATTGCTGGGGATCGGCGCAGTGGAAGCAAGGAAGGTGGAAGCAGGGAAGGTGGAAGCGAGGGTGACATGGGAAGGGGTGAAGGGAGTGGAGAAGCTTGTTTCGATAACGGTAGTGTGGAGTTGAGGAAGTGGAGGGAGTTGAGGCGTGCTGGCAGGGAGGTTGGGATGCTGCTGCCACAGCTGGTGGTGACTGGTCGAAGGACCGCGGAGCATGTTTTGCCGTGGGATGGCTTCTTTGGAGAGCGGCAACTCGCAGTGGTTGGTGGCGAGGAGGTCGAGAGTGTTATTAGTGTTGGTGATGATACATGTGATGATGCATGTGATGATACATGTGATGATGATGGAGAATGCGACGATGATGCAGAGAGTGATGGTGCAGAATGGGATGATGCAGAATGGGGTTATGGATGAGGATATGATTATTGCTAGGAGTATGTATGCGTGTGCATAGATTTCTACTTATTTATCCATTGTAATCAAGGCAAATGCTGACTATTCATTGCTCTCTCTACGCGCTGCTTCTCCACTCCCCCTTGCACTGCTACGCCTTCCCTACTCTCTGCTTCTCCACTCCCCCTTGCACTGCTACGCCTTCCCTACTCTCTGCTTCTCCACTCCGCCTTGCACTGCTTCTCATTCACCATATCGTATGTTTCATGTTCTAAACTTACGGTAGCTGTAATAAATCAAGGAGATATAGTAATATCAATTTACGGTATGATCAGCATCAATAGAGTGCAACTTGTTGTGCATGGTAATCCTATCTAAGGAACGGGGGTTAGAGTTGTATATTTCTATAGAGCTCATAGAAAAATGTCACTCAGTGAAAGACTTATCAAGCCACGTGAACCGTCTAAGCTTCCGAAAAATCTAGGGTACCAGCAATTTCTTTTGCAGTTGCTTCACGGGCAAAACGGGAATCTGTCGCACATTGAACCTCCAGACCAACCACTCGACTCAGGACGGGGTCGGCGCGCTCATTTACAGTTCATTCTGAGATGTTACTCTAGTTTTGTCATGGTTTAGAACGGTTAATCGTGAAAACCGCTGTAAATCTGCTGAAATCGTTTTGCACCACGACGGATGAGCTGTACAATTGGGAGGGGCGGACGCGCTGGGCCCGCCCTTGGCATGCACAAACAGGGTGAATTCAAATGAATTGTAAAACTAAAATTGCTGTCAACGTCAGGACCAGTAGCACAATCCTTCCAATCTCTCGATCTGATTCGCGGGCTCAACACTCGCCTGGTCCTTTTTCCACGGACATTGTCAAATGTCCCTCACACAGATGGACACGTCTGTGCAACTGAAGAGTGGCGGGATTTCACTCATCTCCTGCTGCACGGACATGTGGCGAGTCGAAGCTTCCGAAGAAAGGACGTAGGGACGTTGCCGCGCACCCTCGCGCGCAGAAAGAGGTGAAATTCTTTCTCCGCCGCGTCCGCTTTGCCCACTTCTTTCTCCCTCTCTCACAGCCGCCTCACGCGCCGACTCAGTCGTCGCCTCTTCCTCCCCTTCCTCGTCCACCTCCCGTCCCTCCTCCCCTTCCTCCGCGTCGCTGTAGCCCGTTGGCACCTCGCCTGTCGGCGGCGTCTCCGTTACCGTCGTCGCGCATTATCTTCTTCAACGATTACAGCTTTCTTCTTTCCTCTTTTTCGAGTTAGTGCCTCCAGCGTCACCGCCGTCATCACCGCCGCCACCGCCGTCACCGCCGTCACCACCGGCGGGGTGCTGCGTCACCGCCCGTGCTGCTGTTTCTCCTTCTCCGCCACTTGAGTCCTCCTCGACCTCCGCGTCTTCCCCGCTTCCGCCTTCGCCCCGTCGCCCTTCCCCGCTTCCGCCTTCGCCCCGTCGCCCTTCCCCGCTTCCGTCTTCACACCCCTTCGCCCTTCTCCGCCCTTCCGGCTTCCCCACTTCTGCTTTCCCCGCTCCCGCCTTTTCAGCTGCCACAGCCACTTCGAGCAGATTCAGGCGAAAAAAGCAGGATCAGGCGGAAAGGACTGGTGGCGGCGGAGATAGTGGCAGCGAAGGCAAACCCACTAGTGGCAGAAAGAGGTGAAATAAGTCGATTTTTGAGTCGACTCAAAAAGCGGAGATAGTGGCAGCGAAGGCAAACCCCGGCAGAAAGAGGTGAAATCCGGTGGGGAAGGGCGACGCGCGGAGGGCGACGGTGGGATTTGCCGGAAGAAAGCAGCAGCATGTCATTCAAAGGGCCGCGCAAGGGGTTTCTGGAGGTGTTTAAGTTCGCGTGCTACGTGGGCATCCCCATCGCCATGATGGTCACGATCGCCAACAACCAGGACAATTTGGAAGCTATCATCCGCAATGTGAGGCCCCTCCCACCCTCCTCTCCTTCCCCTTCCCCCTTCCTCCCCTCCCTTTCCCTTCTCCGCTCCTTTCCCCCAGAGGGCCCGCGCCCGCCCACCCTTCATAACACCTCCCTCATTAGACCTTCCCCTCTCCTTCCCCTCCCCTTCTCCTCCCCTTCCCCTCCCCTTCCTATCCACTTTCTTCCCCTTCCCCTCCGCTTCCCCTCCCCTTCCTCTCCCCTTCCCCTCCCCTTCCTCTCCCCTTCCCCTCCCCTTCCTCTCCCCTTCCCCTCCCCTTCCCCTCCCCTTCCCATCTGCTTCCCCTCCCCTTCCTCTCCGCTTCCCCTCCCCTTCCTCTCCCCTTCCCCTCCCCTTCCTCTCCCCTTCCCGTCTCCTTCCCCTCCCCTTCCCGTCCCCTTCTTCTCTTCCCCTCCCCTTCCACTTCCCCGCTCCCCTCTCCATATAGCTCTCCGCACAGAAGGCATATGTGATCTACCCCCCTCTCAAGGCCCTCGCCCGCCCACTGCAGAGGATTGCTCCTCTGCGTGTGGACAAGGGGACAAGGGGAATACGGGCTCCTCCTCAACCCCTCTTCCCTCTGATGTATCTCCCCGTGTGTACCCCCCCTCTCACCTTCTCCCGCACCCCCTCACTCCCCCCTCATCCCCTCCCCCCTCCCCCTTTTCCCCCCTTCTCCCCCTACAGAGAGCATATGTGATCTACCCCCCTGAGGGCCCTCGCCCGCCCACCGCAGAGGAGGTGAGGGGACTGGCGCAGAGGCGGCAGCAGGGGGAGGGGAATCAGGCTGACGGACAGTGAGGGGGGAGTGATGCGGAGGCAGCAGCAGCGGCAGCGGAGGGCAGCAGGAGCTTGTATGCCCCCTCGAGGAGGTGAGGGGACTGGCACAGAGGCGGCAGCAGGGTGAAGGGAGGCATGTTGGCGGGCAGTGAGTGTGGGGAGGTGGGGGGGCGAGTCAGCCAGCAGCAGTCGAAGGCAGCAGGGGCAGGCGAGGCAGGGTGGCGAGTAGTAAGCGGGACTGAAGCGGAGGCAGCAGGGGCAGCAGGGGAAGGCAGCAGGGGTGTGTAGGGCGAGGCGAGCAGGGGCCTGACGCAGAGGCTGTGCAGCAGGGGGAGGGGAAGCTGGCTGGGGGGAGTGAGTGGGGGAGGGGTGAGGGAAGCAGGGACAGGAGAACTGGGATGAGAGTGAGTGGCCTATGGCACCTACGGTAGATGCAGTCTCTAGGAAATAAATATTATTGTTTTTTTTTTTTTTTTTTTCGCAGAATGCTGGCATGGTTAAAGGACATTATGTGGAGCAGGAAATGTGACTGCACATGGTGCGGCCACCAGTAGTATGTACCGTAACTGAACGGGCTAGGGAGGAAAGGGTGATTCTACGGTAAACATGGGTTTGGTGCGGTTTCATATGTGTAGAGAGAAAATGTGTATGAAACATGTGGTTTCATATTGGATGTGACAGACAAAAGTTGTTTTGTGTTGTATACAGTTGATTTCTTTTCTTTGTTTGGCAAATTAGCACATAGAGGGTGAAAGGTTAGAAAGAAAATTGGTCAATAGAAACAGTCATAACCGTAGGTTGTGCATGTCCTAGAAAAAGCCATCCTACTAGTACCGCCTACAACCGCTAACAGAGGGCAACACACAAGAAAACCACCCTTCAACCACACCACGTAATCCCCACCTCTACAGCTGCTCCCATCCCCATGCTTCTCCTTCCCTCCCCCAACTCCAACCACCTTGCCTCCCCACACACACCCCACACTGCCAGAAAGATATAGTCTGGTCACCGAATCCTGTTAGCCCTACACCCAGTTAGCCCAAAATCCCAGCCCAAACACCTCACCTAACACCCAGCACTACCCCCATATCAGTCTACATCACATTGGGGTCATGTCATGTCACTGCATCTCACCCCACCACTCAATTCTTCCCCACCACACCACCGCCTGCATCGTCAACTCCCCCCTGCCACACCTCCACATTGAGGCACCTCTCCAAAGTCTCTGAAATCTCATCTCCTCCTTGACGCCAGCACCACCAACTCTCCCCAGCCTCCGAAGTCAGGAGCCTCAATGTGCGCCCTCAGGAGAAGTGCTGCCCTCCTGCTCATGCGAGGAGTCGCGATGTGCGCTCTCAGAAGAAGTGCTGATCTCCTGCTCATGCGAGCAGCGCCAGCTCTCTCTTGCGCCGCTTCTCCCTCGCCGCTGCCGCCTTCTCTTCCTTGGTCACACGCGGGGTGTCCAGCCACCTGCAATTGAGGGGGGGAGAGGGGGGAGGGGAGGGGAGGGAGGAGGTGCGGGTGGGGGGCAATAGAGTTGAGGTTTTTTTTTTTTTTTTTTTTTTTTTTTTCAAAACAGCCAGCTCTCTCTTGCGCCACTTCTCCCTGGCTGTTGCTGCCTTCTCCTTGGTCACATGCGGATACACTAATAAAGTCCTCTACTTTGTGCATCATGCATAACGCATACTCCACCTTGCTTTTCTCCTTGTGAGAGAGATTGAGTTGCCCAACATGATCCACCCAAAAAACATTTTCAACGTAAATAACATAAGAAAAAAAAGAATAGAAAATAATAGAAAAGAATAGAAAGTAAAAAAAAAAACATTTCAGAAGTCACTTTCAACCCATAACACCGCCCCTGCTCGCACGCCAACGTGCACTTATTCTTACTCATACTCAGGCCACTTATAGCTAAGTATACAATAACTACGCGCTTCGCACCCAGACTCGACACACACACACACATACACTCTACAGCTCAATCTCAACAACTCACAGAACGATCTTCTCTCACCTGAAGAAATTGCATCGCGCGCCCTTCTTCTCCTCCGCCTCGTCCCCATCCCCCGCCGCGGGGCGCGCGCCTTTGCGCGCGTGGCGGGGGCGCTTGAAGGGGCGCGGCTGGTAGTTGGCGCACGTCCAGTAGCGCAGCCCCTTGTTCTCGTTCGCCGCCGCCGTCACCGTCCGCACCACCGCCAACCGCTTCAGCTTACTCTTCCCCTTCCCCTCCGCCTTCCCCTTCCCCTCCGCCTCCGCCTCCCCCGCTTGCGCAGCGTCTCCTCCCTCTTTCTCCGACTCCTTAGCTTTCCCCGCTTCCTCATTTTTCTCCTCTACTGCCGCCTCCCCCTCCTCTTCCACCTCCCGCCCCTTCTCCCCCTCCGCCGCGTCGCAGTAGCACGTCGGCTCCTCGCCTTCCGGCAGCTCGCCTGTAGGCGGCGCCTCGCTCACCGACGGCGCATCGTCTTTCGTCGCCTCGGCATGCTCTTCTTCGACGGTTTCCGCTTTCCTCTTTTTCGAGTTGGTGGTTTCCGCGTCAGCGCCACCACCGTCACCAGCGGCGGCTAGAGACCTCCTCGACCTCCGCGTTTTTCCCCCTCCCGCCTTCCCCGCTTCGGCCTTCGCCGCTTCCGGCTTCGACGCTTCCGTCTTCCCCTCTTCCGCCTTCCCCGCTTCCGCCCCCTCCGCTTCCGCCATCTCCACGTCAGCCTTCCCCGCTTCTGCCTTCTCCGTCGCCTTCTCCGCTTCCTCTTTCCCCGTGTTGGCCTTATCAGCTTCCGCCTTCTCCGCTTCCGCTTTGGCTGCTTCCGCATCCCCCGCTTCCGGTTTCTTGGTTTCAGCCTTTTCTGGTTCCCCCTTATCCGCTGATTTTTCTTCCGCCTTTGATTCTGCCTTCTCTTCCGCCTTTGCTTCCGCCTTCTCTTCCGCCTTTGCTTCCGCCTTTGCTTCCGGCTTCGATTCCGACTTTTCCGCCTTTTCTTCCGCCTTTTCTTCTGTCTTTTCTTTCTCAGTTTCCGGCTTTTCCGCATCCACCTTCTTTGCCTCTGACTTCACTTCTGCCTTAGCCGCTTCTGGTTTGGTCACTTCCGCTTTTTCCGGCTCCGGTTTTTCAGCATCCGCGATTACGACAGCATCGCCATTTGCTTGTGGCGTTTCCGCTTTGGCCCCGACCTTTGCTCCTTCCGCCTCCGCTGCATTATCCCCGCCACCGGTCCCCATACCCTCTTTCACCGCTTCCACGCCGTTTGCACGCTGATCGTCCGCTTTTGGGGTATCCTTGACAGAACCAGTGGGAGCAGCGTTAGCTGTGGCAGCCGAATCGCCAGCAGCAGCCTTACCTACCTTCGTTGCTTCTGTCTCTGCGGGTATAGTAACTTTCGCAGCGTCGACGTTGCCGTCCATAGTCTCAATACTACTCGTTGCGCGGTGCGGTTCGGTCGGAGCTTTCAAGTTGAGAGTTCAAACAACTGAAGGTGAGAGTGCGAGAAGAGAGGGTTTGAAGCATTTCACAACAGGGGCACGAAAATTGCATTTCCAGGCGCGAGGGAGCGACGGAGGGGCTACAGTGGCACGAAAAGGCACCAAGATGTAAAAGCACGGGAGCGAACACCACAATTTCACGCATAGGGTTCGAGAGTGATTTATGTACGCGCTACTGTCTGGCTCACTTGGCTCCACCTGCAGTCATCCTGTCTACACTCATTAGCGAAACAAACAGATTTTACTGCGGTGGGACACGTGTGGATCTGTTAGGGAAGACAGGGGTGACAGTAACGCTAGATCTCGTTAAAGGATGCCATGATTCTGACAGCGGGGCCAACGGAAGCGGTCGTCTGGATGAGTCAGCCAATCGAAACCCAGCTTGCCTTTGTTCAGGGCGCGCCGCGGACCAGCTTACTGCATGAAGAGTCACGACTGATGCCTCCCCGTGATTGTGGCGAAACCCCGTTTGGCGCACACTCCATGCCATCGCTTCAGTCACAGTTGACTGTGACTGGTTTCCTCTGTGCCCAGGTTTTCTGTGAATGAAATGGTGCAAACACAATTCCATCAGGTTTTGTGGTAAAAAATATGGAAGGGTGTAATTATGTTTTCAAGAGAAAGAAAACATCGCTGAAAAGCGAGGTAACCTTGCGCTTGCACTCTTTTGTGGGAAGTTGGGCACACAACTGAAAACGAATTGCCAACCCCAGGGATTTCCGAAGAAGCAGAATCAAGTGCGTGCAACGTGTTGAAGCAAGCAGAGCCATGGATACCGCAAAAAACTCCATAGCACAGAAGCCACTAGTGCCTAAACTCGCTTAGGTGTTTAGACTCGCATTCACAGAGGTCCACGCCTTAGTTGTTCTGTGCAGTGCAGTGACATCTCGCAGCGTTAGCAAAAGACAGGTCAATCACCCTGTTACTGTCCTGCACATTTCCACCGTCATTGACCTGCCTCGAGATTCGAAGGTCGAGGGTGACAGACCACTAGTCGTGACTCCTGAGTCGTGAATAGATATTTCCCATCCTGCGCGAGTAATCGAGCGTCCAAGCTAAGGCTCTCACTGCTCCGTTCGTTGTGTGACGCCCATCAATAGACTCCGCATCGCAATGAATCTCGTCAGACATTCTCGCTGAATCTAACTCATTTCCTGCAGAAGGAAATATGAGACGAGTTCTAAGACTCATCAAACCCGTATTGTGATTTTTCTTCATGAACCTTCGAGAACATTTCGACAACGTCTCAAAACACGTTATTCAAACCCCGCTGTAGCCATCATTGGAGTTCAGAATTCTCACCCAGTCAACTCTCCTGGAGCCATCATCCGGGCCCTCCTCCTTCTCCTCTTCTCACTGCGCTTCGCACAAAACACCACCGATTACCGATAATTGATTATAGCTCACCGCCATGATTCGGAGATTATCTCCATTGATCCGCAGCGCGCAGAGCGCTGTGACGGATCCGGGATTCCTGCTCGCTCTGTTGCTGGTCATCGTCCTCCCGTCGCTCAACCGTAATCTCAATCTGAGCGCCAGAGTTCCCAGTTTGCCCAGTCCAACCGCACTCGATGATTCCGTCGTCGGTCCTTACGCCGACAGCTCGTCGCAGCTGCAGCAATCGCAGCAGCAACAATCGCAGCAGCAGCAATTGCTGCAACGGACGGATGGCTTGCAAGGAGTGTCGTCTACGGGGATTAGCGGGCCTTCGTCTGCCGGAGTTAGCAGCTTGGTCCGACGTAAGATGCAGGATAAGGAGATGGTGGTGGGCGTGACTGGCGGCGACGCGGCGGATAGCTTAGGAGGTGGGTGCTAGTCGAGGTGTTTCCTGCGCCGTACGCGTTAGTGCAGCTTTAACGCTTACTAGATAGTGCATTTCAGGTATGATTGATTGATTTCCGGTAAGCTTTTGAGGCTCCTGACGGAAATTGACTATCTTCCTGGATTTCCCACGCTCTTCTCCCGTCCCTCTTCCCTGCAGAAAAGGAGGAGGGCGTCAATGTCGGCGGCAATGACGGCGACAGCGACGCGAGCCTGAGTTCGCAGCAGCGGCACCAGCAGGAGGAGCTGGTCGGCAATCCCGTGGGCCGGCTCAAGATCTACGTCTACGATTTACCGCGCGATTTCAACTACAATTTCATTAAGAAGCAACCCCGCTGCCTGACGCACATGTTCGCGTTAGAGGTGTTGTTCCACCGTTACATCTTGAACAGCCCCGTACGTACGACGAACCCGGACGAGGCGGACTGGTTCTACATGCCCGTGTACCCCACGTGCGATCTGACGGCCTCGGGATTGCCGCTGCCGTTCCGGTCGCCGCGCATGATCCGCGCGGCGATCACGCTGGTGTCGGAGCGGTGGCCGTACTGGAACCGAACGGACGGCGCGGATCACTTCTTCATCACGCCGCACGATTTCGGAGCGTGCTTTCACTATGAGGTGCGTGTGACTGTAACCAAGAGTGCAGGATAGCAGGGAGCGGAGAGGAGAGAGCAGAGACCGGGAGGCAGGGAATAGGGAACAGGGAGAGGGAGGAGGGAACAAGGAGCAGAGAGCAGAAGGCAGAGAGAGAGCGCACACTGCATGTAGTGCTGCTAGCATGATGAGCAAGGGTATGCAGACATCCGGGCAGTTGCACCACGTGTGCCGCTAACCGCTCTCTCCCTCCTTATGCGCTCTTCTTCACCCAACGTCCCATATTCCAGGAAGAGAAGGCCATTACCCGCGGCATCATGCCTCTATGGAAGCAAGCAACCCTGGTGCAGACGTTTGGGCAGTCGCACCACGTGTGCCACAAGCCCGGCAGCATCGCTTTGCCCACCCCCGCCCCCACAGGCCACATTCCCCTCACTCTCTGTCCCTCTCTTGTTCCCCCCTCCTACCCTTTACCACCCGACCCCCATATCCCAGGAAGAGAAGGCCATCACCCGCGGCATCATGCCTCTACTCAAGAGGGCAACCCTGGTGCAGACGTTTGGGCAGTCGCACCACGTGTGCCACAAGCCACTCACCCTCCTTCCCTTGTGCTTTCACTTCACATCCCAATACCCGATCTCCAGGAAGAAAAAGCTATCACTCGCGGCATCATGCCTCTATTGAAACGAACAACCCTGGTGCAGACATTCGGGCAGTCGCACCACGTGTGCCACAAGCCTGGCAGCATCGTGGTGCCTCCGTTCGCCCCCACCGGCCACATGCACCGCCGCCGCATCCCCCCCGATACGCCGCGCTCCATCTTTGTCTACTTCAGGGGGCTGTTTTATGATAAAAACAACGACCCGCAGGGCGGGTACTACGCCAGGTGAGGCTGTGCTCTGTGGTGCGCTGAGTGAGCTTGTGGAGGCAAGGTGTGTTCTTTCCAGCATCCCCCCTGACACCCCATGCTCCATCTTTGTGTACTTCCGCGGACTATTCTATGACCGCAACAATGACCCGCAGGGCGGGTATCACGCCAGGTGAGGCGAATTTGCGCCAGGTGGGACTGAGTGCACGCCAGGTGAGGCTGAGTGCACGCCAGGTGAGACTGAGTGCACGCCAGGTGAGACTGAGTGCACGCCAGGTGAGACTGAGTGCACGCCAGGTGAGACTGAGTGCACGCCAGGTGAGACTGAGTGCACGCCAGGTGAGTCATGCTCTCTGGTGCCATGAGCTTGTGGAGGTACGGAGTGTTACCACAAGCCGTACAGCCTGATAGCTCCCCACTCCTCCCCCCTCCCCGTTATGCATCTGTTCTCCTGCAGGCACGCACGCGCATCCATGTGGGAGAAATTCAAGAGCAACCTGCTGTCTGACATATCAGCAGGGCACGGTTGTGTGTGTGACCTCATCACCACATCCCAAACCTTCCTTTCCTTTTCCAGCACCTCCTCCCTTCCCCCACCTCCTGCTCCTGCAGGGGTGCGCGGGCATCCATGTGGGAGAACTTCAAGAGCAACCCGCTATTCGACATGTCAGCGGAGCATTACTGCGTGTGGCCTCATAACCGCATCCCACCCACCCATACCTTTTCCTCTCCCGCACTCCCACCCCATCCACTCGTCCTTTCCTGCAGGGGTGCACGGGCGTCCATGTGGGAGAACTTCAAGAGCAACCCTTTATTCGACATGTCAGCGGAGCACCCGGCGTCCTACTACGAGGACATGCAGCGCTCGCTCTTCTGCCTCTGCCCGCTCGGCTGGGCGCCCTGGTCGCCCCTCCGTTCCCCTTCCCACTCCCACCTCTCTCACCTCGCACCCTCACGTCTCAGTCCTGCTCCTTCTCCCCGCTCCCATCCCCTCCCGACCCCTCTTTCCCCATGCCTCCTGGCCTGCAGGGGTGCACGGGCGTCCATGTGGGAGAACTTCAAGAGCAACCCGCTATTCGACATGTCAGCGGAGCACCCGGCCTCGTACTACGAGGACATGCAGCGCTCGCTCTTCTGCCTCTGCCCGCTTGGCTGGGCGCCCTGGTCGCCGCGCCTCGTCGAGTCCGTCTTCTTCGGCTGCATCCCCGTCATTGTCGCCGACAACATCGTCCTCCCCTTCTCTGACGTCATCCCGTGGCGGGAAATCGCCGTTTTTGTTCCAGAAAAAGACGTGCCGAAACTAGACGAGATTCTGGCTGGGATTGGGCCGAAGAGAGTGCTGGCGATGCAGCAGCGGCTGGCGTCGCATGCGATCAGGCAGGCGGTGGTGCTGGGGCATCCGCAGCCCCAGGAAGGGGATGTGTTTCACCAGGTGCTGAACGGGCTTGCGAGGAAGCTTCCCCACCCGCCGTCGACGTATTTACAGCCTGGGGACGAGAGGTTGAACTGGACTGCTGGGCCGGCGAATGACTTCAAGCCATGGAAGCCTGACTCCCATGTTTATTGGTGAAGTAAGGTGGTTCCAGAAACAAGGTCTAAAAATTGACCTGACTGACTTCCATGTTTATTGGGTTTAGGGCTCAATTTAGGGCTCAACAGTTAGACTGTGCCATACTGTACCATCTATAGCATAGGTGTGTGGAACCCACGCAGCAGTAGGTTTTTATCCAGAAGTGGTGTTATGACAAGCATATGCAGCCATTGCAGCCTTACTGGAATAGCAAAGTAATATTTACAAATGGCTACCTAGGCACAGAAGGCAGTGTATCTGCAGCTGCAAGGACTACCGTACAATATATATATGATCACCCTATGCTGGTGCTGCCACTGCACCATTGTTGCCTCAATTGCTCGCCTCAAGAACATGCTTGATCCACCTCTAAATGCAGATATGGGATGCTTACATGCTAGCTTCCACCACTTGGCACCCAATACCATAAGAGGTCTTCACATGAAGATCCTCCCTGAGTCCCGATGCTCCTTCACCAGCTGCTGCTTGCTCCTCATGCACTCCAACCATCACCACCACTGAATAATCCCTCTGTCCACCTGCCACTCCCCCATCCCTGGCATCACTGACTGCTAATGCAGCACCCCCCTCACTGCAAATGTGCTTCCCCTTCCTCCTACTGCTCCCCTCCTCCCTCTGCTGTGTCCCTCCCATCTGGCACCATGACCTCAACCTGCCTGCAACCTACTTGCTGTGGTACCCTTGCCCGCACCCCCCCTCCACACCGTCCGACCTTTGTCCCCCCGACCTCAAAAGAATGGCTGGCTTTCACTCGTTGCAAGGCCAGTTGCAACAGGGTTTCCTTCAGACGACGCCTGGTGGAGCTATGGCTGTCGGCCATATGATTGGCAGGATCTGCCCTCTCCCGCACTAGATCATGTACAATGGACCTGATAGTCCTTAGAAGGAGCACCCGTTCCTTGCTGCTGCTGATGCTGCTACTACTGCTGATAGATTTGCTGCCAGAGATGCTGCTACTACTGCTGATAGGTTTGCTGCCAGAGATGCTGCGTGTGTTGCTAGCAGGCACTCCTTCCTTGTCACTAGTGCAGCCGTTCTTGGCCACGTTGACCTGAGACTGCAGCAGTGGACGCTCAAATTCAGCACCTGTTGACTCCAGCACGGCAGCAGCAGCACTTGGATCTGGCACTGCTGCAGACGTTGAGATGGGAGAAGACGCAGCAGTAGTGACCTCAAATGCAGCGACTTGCCCTCTGAAGCGGCCTATTCCTCCCGGCTTCACATCCCCTGGGCCAACACTCTGCACCGTTTTGGACTTGTGGCCAGCAGCAGAACTGGTGAAGGAGGGAGAGGTGTGGGGCTGTCTTGACAGGTTCTCAAGCAACGGTCTAACGCTCTTCAGCACAATGCTTTTGCAGTGGTCAGTGGTGGGACGTTTCGTGCAGTCAATCCGCACTGAGGGTTGAGGAGGCTTGAAACACAAGGGTCTGTTGGCACGTTGTGGTTTCATAGACGCCACTTGACTAGGTTTGCCGAATCGTCCAATGCCTCTGGTGGTGGCTTTAGCGGAAGATGCTGCCGCGTCCGCCTTCTGCTTTACCAGAAGCTCCAGCAGAGGTCTCAAGCTCTTCAGAGAAACGCCACTGCTGCTGTTGCTATAGCTGTTGCTACAGCTGCAGCTACCAGGCTCATTATGCTCATGAAGGCATGCGTTACCGACTGCCTTCGAGCAGCTAACAGGAAGTCGCGATTCAGGAACGGTGTTGCACTGTGATTCGGAACAAATCACCGTCTTAGGTGTGCCGAATCTGCCAATGCCTTTGGTCCTGCTGATGAGGTTAGTCTGGCTTGCTCTGGCTAACGACGTGGATTCCAACTTGGCTGTTTCGACCTCTATCCCACTCGTTTCCGCATGCGGGTCCATGCAAGGAGTGCTGTAGCTAGCTCGATATGTTGACACCTCACTTTGTAAGAAACCAGAAAGCGTCGATATGCACGTGAGATCGGAAGCTGCTATGGAGGAACCAGAAAACGCTAGAAACTAGACCACATGAATCTCGAGACAGAGCAGCACCCCATGTCCCACGAGAGGCTTCTGGGAGTGCTCTGGACTGATTAGCATCAGTTTTCACTTTATTATGCAAGCCCCTTGAGATTGAGAGCAAGATGAGGCCGAACGGCTGGAGACTTCCAGGAAGGGGTTGACGTGCACAACCCCTAGCCTGAGCTGCACTCCTAGCCGTTGAAACCGCGTAGCCGAATCAGAGGGATTTGGCGGGAAGAACGGATAAGGCAACCTCGGGGGAGACACTCTCGAAGCGTGTGCTGCTGGTTCTGATTCGCGCGTTCCTGAGGCGCCCTGATTCTTTGGCGCCAATTTGCCTGAGTGGTGCTGCTGACGCCGCTGCATGTTACTGTGGATGTTACACAGCGAGAGCCGTGAACCAGCGTTCGCGAAGGCATCGCACAGCAACGGGACTGCCGATACTTCAGCCAATCTGCGTCAAGCAGGCGCACAAGCTCTGGGCTTGACGAGGGAGAGATGGTGGAACAGCTGAATCCGTCCGCTTTTAGAAAAAAATGCAGTTTCCTTGCAACGGGCTGGCTGGTGTAGCCAACCAAACCAAATCATTTAATGGAATATAAGAGCTTGAGCCTTATTCTCAATAATATTATTTTGCATACGTTTCATCTGAGAAGGTTAGTAATTACAGTTCAAAATTTGTGGGAAATTCGACAAGGATCTGTAGGAAACTACTAAAATTATAGTCACATTCCCAACCTACATGCTTCAGTGCTGCTCTATCGTCCACGTTAGCATTTCTGCAACTGGTGTACTAAAATCCGACTGTCATGCTGCAGTGGTTCAACAGCTCGTACAGCGGACAAGAACAGAAACCCTGCCCCCTGAACCCTAGCGTCGATAAGCCTTGTTCTTCACCTGTCACCTCGAGCTTATGGGCCTGAATCTAACGGCTCTTTTTTTAGTTATTAGACCGAAACTGCGTATTATTTGCGTCTGCAAGGCGTATAATAGGTCGCATTTTGACTTGAAATCCAGGAAGAACAGAAGGAGGCGGTTGGAAGAACAGTTCGCATGGGGCCAGTAGGCAGGCATAGGGGAAGAGGACGAGGGGGAGGACGAGGAAGGGGAAGAGGCGGGGGAAGGGGGTGGCGAGGGGGGGAAGTTGCGGGCGCAGGCGGAAGCGCAAGGCATTCCGCCGCGGGGGGACGGGATGCGAGGGGGATGGGGAAGGGGGATACGCGCGGGAGGGGCGGAAGGCGAGCGGGGGGAAGGGGGGATTCTCGTCGTGGAGGAAGGGGAGGGAAGCGCGCAGAAGGGGGGCTGGGAGAAGGGGGGAATGAAGAGTCGGAGGAGGAGGGTGCGGGTCTAGGGTTGAGTGTGGCCGGGCCTGACGCTTACTCTGCCCTGCTGACGTCTCTGGGAAAGAGTACACGTGGCGCGCTCTCACAGGTCTACTCTCAGAGGTAGGGAAAGCCGACTGTGATGCGGGCGATGGGTGCGATGCGTGGCTTTTGAGGCTCGTGCAGCAGCGCGTATGATGCTCGTCATTTCAATGTGGCCGTTTTTAGAGAATTCGTGAAAAAAATAACGCCTGCAATAACGAGAGCTCGTGCAGCAGCGCGTAGGATGCTCGTGATGTCAATTTGGCCGTCCGTCATGTGTTTATTGCTCTCACATGTGTTCTGTGCATGCACACATGCAATGCATGCAAGCACCTGGGATTCTGTATGACCGGCCTTGTGTGTTTTGGGGTGAGTGTGGCTGATTGCAGGGAGAGGGACGCACTTGGGATAGAGAGCGAGGAGGAGGAGGAGGAAGAAGAGGAGGAAGAAGAGGAAGAAGAGGAAGAGGAAGTAGACGAGGAGGAGGGGAGTGAAGAGAAGGAGGAGGGAGAGAAAAACGAGGCAGGAGATTCGGATCCAGAAGCAGAAGGCGGAGAAGAGGACGAGGATGAGGACGAGGAGGGGGGTGAGGTAGAAGGAAAAGGAGATGATAGAAGTGATGGTGATGAGAAGGAAGGGGAAGATGAGGAAGGTGAAGAGGAGGAGGGAGTGGATGAGGAGGAGGAAGCTAGAGAGGGGGGTGGGCATGGTGCTGCTGCTACAGGCAGACACGAGTAAGCACACCCAACCCAATTAACTAACCCAAAGTTTCACTCCCTTCGTGATCAACATTTCCCAACGTTTCATTCCCCCTTTTTGCGAAACGACTTACAACTTGAGATGAGGATGGTCATGGTGCTGCTGCAGCCTGCTGCAGGCAGACAGGGGTGAGCGCACCCAGTTAACCCAACGTTTCATTCCTCTCGCTTACATCCCAAAGTCATCTTTTTGAGCCGTCTCAAAAGTTCCCCGTGTTGGCTTGGCTCTTGGTGTCACACACATCCCCTTGCTTTACACCTCCCTTTGTTCTCCTCGTCCTCTCTCCGCTCATCCCACGTTCCCACTCTCCCCGTTCCTACTCCCCCTTTTTCCCACACTTCCCCAGCCCCTTCGCCCAGCGCATGGAGCACATGCTCACGCCACAGGAGCTCCTCTCGCTGGGAGGCTCTGCCGACGCCGCTGCTGCAACCGCTGCTGCTGCTGTTGCTGCTGCGGCTGCTGCTGCTGTAGGAAGGAAAGGGAAGGGCAGTGGCAGTGGCGCTGGCAAGTCCAGTGGCTTGGGCGGTGCAGGGGGCGGCAAGCCACTCAAGTTTTCGTATGAATGGCTGGCAATGGGTGTCCCGGGCGGCAAGTGGGTGGCTGACCATGCACTGCCTTGGACGGCTGCTGCTGCAGATAAGGAAGAAGAAAAGGATAAGGATAAGGATAAAGAAAAAGGCACGGCCAAGGGTAAGGATAAGGCGAAGAGTAAAGCAAAGGACAAGGAGCAGGAGGAGGAGGAGGAGGTGGATGCGTGGGAGGGGTTCAAGGGGCGGTTGAAGGAGCACTGGGGGAGAGTGGTGGAGGAGGATTATGAGCCACTGCTGAGAGTGAAACAGGAGGGCGGAGACAGCAGCAGCAGCGGTAGTCAGACTGCGAAAGGCAGCAGGAGCAGCGTGAATGGTGGTGATGAGGGGGGTGGGAAGCGGAAGAGGGGGAAGACGGCTGTTGCAGCAGCAGCTGTGTCGTCGCCAGAGGAAGCAGCGTTGGGTTCGAGCAATGGATTTGCGAACGACCATCAGCGCCAGTTCTTCTCCCTCTGTGAGTCTCTCGTTGCTCCATGTCCTGACTTCCCATCCCCACATCCCATCCCATCCCATCCCATCCCATCCCATCCCATCCCATCCCATATCCTCTCTGCCCATTTCTTTCTCCACCATAGGCATCATAGAGCTCTCAGGGTTCTGAGGTGCTTGAAGCGTTTTCCCTCTCTCCCTACCCCATTCCCCGCCTTCTCTCCCCCTCCGCCCCGTTTCCCCCTCCCTCCCCCAAACATGTCATACGCGCAGATGTGCTGCACTCGCGCCTGTTTCTGGGCGACATTCGAGTATATCCCCTCCCCGTTCCCACCTCCATTACCTCTCCCCTGCCGCGCCTTATCCCCAACTCCCCCAGGCACGTCATACACGGATGTGCTGCATTCGCGCCGTCCCTGTGCCCAGTCCAAGTTCGGCACCCCATTGGACGCACAGGCTCTCACTGATGCCTACCTGCTGCACACGGTACGCCACCTTGCTTGCTTGCACCTGCTCCTGTGCCGGATGCCCTTACACTCTTTCTCAACTACGCCGCTCAGTTCGGCACCCCATTGGACACACAGGCGCTCACTGATGCCTACCTGCTGCACGCGGTATGCCCGCTGGCCTGCTTCCCTGTTAGAAGCTGCTCTTTATTGTGCTGCATGCTCCTACTCTCATTCCTTCTCAACTGCTCCACTGGTTCCAAGTTCGGCTCGCCTCTGGACACGTCTTTCACACAAGCGATTGCACCGCCAAGAATAGCGACGACAAGCTCAACTGAGCCTCTGCTGCTGCCTGTGCGCCTGCTGCGGCCTGCTCCATTGATTCCAAGTTCGGCAGCCTCTGCTGCTGCCTGTGCGTTGCTCGCTCGTCCTCGTGCTCGTGCAACCCTTCTCTCCTTCCCCTCCTCTCTCACCCCACTCTTTTCTCCTCCCCCCAGCTGAACCATGCCTTTCACACGCGCGACCGCATCACCAAGAACACGAAAAGCTCAACCGCGCCTCTGCTGCTTCCTGTGTGTCACTCCCCTCTTCCACTACCCACCTCTCTTCCCATCTTTTCTCCTTCTCACCCCCTCATCTATTCTCCTCCCCAGCTGAACCACATCTTTCACACGCGCGATCGCATCACCACGACAAGCCCAACCGCGCCTCTGCTGCTCCCTATGTGTACCCCTCATTGTGCAACCCATCTCCTCTTCCCCTCCCTCCCCACCTCCTCTCCCTTCCTTCCCCTCAACGCACACAGCTCAACCACGTCTTTCACACGCGCGATCGCATCACCAAGAACAACGACAAGCTCAGCCGCGCCTCCGCTGCTGCTGTCGCTGCCGCTGATGCTGCTGATGCTGCCGCTGGTGCAAAAGGGAAGAAGAGGAACAAAGGTGGTGCGGAGAAGGGGAGGAGTCAAGGGGGTAATGCAGCAGCTGCAGCTGCTAAAGGCTCAGAAACAGCGGGGAAAGAAGAGGGGAAAGGAGAGAAGGGGAAGAAGGCAGAGGACAGGGAGGAAGGGTTCCATGGCGAGCAGGCGGAGCAGGCGGAGGAGGGGAAGAAGGACGAGGAGATGGAAGAGGGAGGGACAGAGAGTGTTCTTTTTAAGAAGGGAGGAAAAGGAGGGAACAAGGGGAGAAAGGGGCCAGGCGGGGTGGTGGTGGATGGGAAGGAGTTGGTGGAGGTGGAGAGCATCCCCAGGGACCAGGGCTTTACCAGGCCCAAGGTTCTAATTCTACTGCCGTACCGCAATGCTGCTCTGAGCGTGGTGCAGAGGCTGTTACGTGTGACGCCACCCCAGTCCAAGGTCAGTACTGCATCCGGCCCTTCCTCCCCTCCAATTGCATCTTCCTGCCGTGCCAAGTTGCTGCTCGTCTCCTCAAAGTGCTGCTGCTCCTGCCTTTTGAGTCGACTCAAAAGTCACCAACTTTCCTCAAAGTGCTGCTGCTCCTGCCTTTTGAGTCGACTCAAAAGTCACCAACTTTCCTCAAAGTGCTGCTGCTCCTGCCGTACCGCAATGCTGCGCTGAGCGTGGTGCAGCGGCTGCTGCGAATCACACTGGCCCAGTGAAAGGTCAGAGTAGGGTTTTAAGTATAAGCTGACTCTACAATGGTTGAGAGGTCTCAAAAACCAACAGCCCCTGTGAAACAACCTGAGTCGCTTTTGAGAATTTTTATAAGTCTTTGTGAGACAACCGTCGATCGATCTCATGTTTCAGACATCTCAAATGCTCCTTGAGGTGACTTTTGAGTCGAGTCAAAGGACTTCTGAAAATTGTCAAAAGCCCTTGTGAGACAAACGCCGATCTCATGTTTCAGACGTCTCAAATGCTACGTGTAGAGAGGGTGATTTTGAGTCGTCTCAAATGCTCCTCCTTCTGTTTCAACCCCGCTCTTACAGGTGGCAGTGGAGCATTTGGATCGCTTTCTTGCTGAGTTCCCTTCAGATCTCACTGAAGATTCATTGCATGCCTTCCGTGCTTCTCTCGTTCGAGACATCTCAAAGGCCGGTCATCCCCTTGTTGCCCCCGTGATTGCAGGTGGCAGTGGAGCATTTGGATCGCTTTCTTGCTGAGTTTGGCGAGGTGGAGAGCGAGGAGGAGGAGAGTGAGGAGGAGGACGAGGAGGAGAGGAGAAAGGCGAGGGAGAGGAAGAGGAGAAAGCAGCAGCAGCAGGTGGGCCGTGGGTTGTCATGGGAGGCAGAGGAAATGGAGGATGGAGGGGAGGAGGGAGGGGGAGGAAGTAGGGAAGAGGGTGGGGGAGAGGGTGAAGCAGCAGCAGCAGAGGCGGCAGCAGCGGTGCTGCGGAAGGGATTGAAGCCGGTGGATCATCGGGCGATGTTTGGCGGCAACAATGACGACCACTTCCGCCTCGGCATCAAGTTCACCAAGTGAGGTTTCCACACACGGTGGTGTGTGATGCTGTACGGTGCAGTGCGGTGGTGTGGTGTGCTACGGATCACCGGGCGATGTTTGCCGCCAACAATGACGACCACTTCCGCCTCGGCATCAAGTTCACCAAGTATGAGGTGGTGTGCGGTTTTGTGCTGTGCTGTGCGGTGTGGTGTGGTGTGGTGTGGTGTTCTGTGGTGTGGTGTGCTCTGCTATGTTGTGCCGCGGAAGGGGAGCTGGTGGATCGCACTACAGCACAGCACCACACAGCACAGCAGAGCAGGCAGCAATGAGGAGGCAGCAATGAGCAGGCGGCAATGAGGAGGCAGCAATGAGGAGGCAGCAATGAGCAGGCAGCAATGAGGAGGCAGCAATGAGGAGGCAGCAATGAGCAGGCAGCAATGAGGAGGCAGCAATGAGGAGGCAGCAATGAGCAGGCAGCAATGAGGAGGCAGCAATGAGGAGGCAGCAATGAGGAGGCAGCAATGAGCAGGCAGCAATGAGCAGGCAGCAATGAGCAGGCAGCAATGAGGAGGCAGCAATGAGCAGGCAGCAATGAGCAGGCAGCAATGAGGAGGCCGCAATGAGCAGGCAGCAATGAGGAGGCAGCAATGAGGAGGCAGCAATGAGCAGGCAGCAATGAGGAGGCAGCAATGAGGAGGCAGCAATGAGCAGGCAGCAATGAGGAGGCAGCAATGAGGAGGCAGCAATGAGGAGGCAGCAATGAGCAGGCAGCAATGAGCAGGCAGCAATGAGCAGGCAGCAATGAGGAGGCAGCAATGAGCAGGCAGCAATGAGCAGGCAGCAATGAGGAGGCCGCAATGAGCAGGCAGCAATGAGGAGGCAGCAATGAGGAGGCAGCAATGAGCAGGCAGCAATGAGCAGGCAGCAATGAGCAGGCAGCAATGAGGGCCATTTCCGCCTCGCCTCAGCGTCACGTTCACCAAGTGTGCTTTTCACATGCAGTGCTGTGCTGTGCGGTGTCCTGTGGTGTGGTGTGGTGTGCTGTGCTGTGCGGTGTCCTGTGGTGTGGTGTGGTGAGCTGTGCTGTGCTGTGCGGTGTCCTGTGTTGTGGTGTGGTGTGGTGTGCTGTGCGGTGTCCTGTGGTGTGGTGTGCTGTGCTGTGCTGTGCTGTGCGGTGTCCTGTGGTGTGCTGTGCTGTGCTGTGCTGTGCTCTCCTGCGACCATACCATAACACCACTACATCATCATATCATCATGCGATCGCACGCACCATCACACCATCCTGTTTCCTGCTCCTCCTGTCATCCCAAGATGGCACGAATTTTCACCACCCACCGCCCATCATGCCTCATCTCCCACCCATCACGCATCACACTCCCTCCCCAATCATCTCAGGAAGGCAGTGAAGATCTACACGGACTTCTACCAGTCGGACATCATCGTTGCCTCGCCTATCGTACCCATCTGTTCCTTGTCCATCCTTTCCCCACCCGTCCCCTACCCATCCCCCACCCATCCCCCAATCATCTCAGGAAGGCAGTGAAGCTCTACACCGACTTCTACCAGTCTGACATCGTCGTTGCCTCTCGTATCGTACCCCATCGTATCTTCTGTTCCATCCACCCCCCCCCATCCCCTGCCCATCCCCCGCCCATCCCCCTGCCCATCCTCCACCCATCCCCCGCCCATCATCTCAGGAAGGCAGTGAAGCTCTACACGGACTTCTACCAGTCTGACATCATCGTTGCCTCGCCCATCGGTCTCGTCACCGTGCGTTCTCCTCCTCTCTTCTCTTCGCCCCCCAACTGCTTTTCTACCACAAGAGTTGGCACCTCCCCTTGATTGATCACCACAATCACTCCTGCCGTCTTTGATCAGAGTCGGCTTTCTGTGCTAGCCTAACTCTTCTTTCCTCTCGCCCACCACTTTTGCTTCCGCTTGCCTCGTTCACTTCTCCTCCACTCACCCTTCTCGCCCCTCGCTTCCTCCCATCTTGTGATTACCTCTCACTCACCTCTCCCACCCCTCTCACCACCCACCTGCACCCACCTGCACCCACCTGCCTGCCTGCGTGCAGAAGCTGGGGGAGGCTATGGAGGACAGCGAAAAGGACATGGACTTCCTCTCCTCCATTGAGGTGCGTTCAATGCTGGTCAACACTGGTCAACGCTGGTCAACAAGGTGACGGTACTAAATATTCACCTCTGGAGACTGGAGGACAGTGAGAAGGACATGGACTTCCTCCATTGAGGTGCTTGTGTTCAGTCAACGCTGGTCAACAGTGGTCAGTGCTGATCAACGTTGGTCAATTGTCAGTCAATATCAGTCAGTGTCAGTCAATGTCAGTCAATGTCAGTCAATGTCAGTCAGTGTCAGTCAATGTCAGCCAATGTCGGTCAATGCCGGTCAATGTCGGTCAATGTCGGTCAATGTCAGTCAGTGCTGGTTAATGCTGGTCAATGCCAGTTGATGTGAGTGTTCATGTTTGCCTGTGCGTGCGTATGTGTGGTGTGGGCGTGCTGGCGCATGGAAGCGTGCAGTGCAGGTATATGTGACATGCATCATGCACCATGCACCATGCACCATGCACCATGCACCATGCACCATCCACCACTCCCATTCTCTGCCATGACTTGACCACATCACAACCGCTCCTCTCATCCCTATCCTCACACCTCCCCCACTCCCATCCCGTACCACCCTCTCTCCTTCCACCTCGCACGTGTGTTCTAAAATCTTATCCCACTCGCATGCCATGTCACGCCCGCCACGTCAGATTGTCATTGTGGACCAAGCTGATGTCATCCTCATGCAGGTATGCCACATAATGCCACCTCTTGAGCTCATCTTAATCTCGTTCTGGAGCAATCATGAAAGTGTCAACTACGTTCAGTTCAGACTCCCAATAAGCAATAGTACCTGCCAGCTGATAATAGTCCTGGCAGCTGATTATCAGCTGCGTCTGGATGGAACATGGGGTCTGGTCTGGATACGCACCTACATGGGTGCGTACTGATTACCTTTCTTCCTGGGCGCATACGCACTCATGTGCAATCATAAGCGTATAACTCGGATCCATACCCTACTTATACACCTTTGCATGGGTTAGTACCATAGATCATCTCATGTGGAAAACTCTGCTATTTGGGAGTAACTTTTGAGAATTCTCAAAAGTCATCTACCAAAACACCTGTGCATGGGTTAGTACGATTTTTTGGATCATCTCGTGTTAAAAACCCTGCCCTTCCCAATCGGTTGGTGCAGAACTGGGCTCACGTGAAGGCGGTGTTTGCGGGGCTCAACATGTGTATGACCTCGTCTGAGTCACTAAAATACATATGCAATGCAAACACTCACTCCACCCTCTCTCCCCACTCGCTGCAGAACTGGGCTCACGTGGAGGCGGTGTTTGCGCAGCTGAACAAGCTGCCAGTGAAGCAGCATGGCACCGATTTCATGCGCGTGCGAGAGTGGTGAGCGGTGGGGGGCGAAGAGCAAGGGGGGAGAGGGGAGAGGACTGATCCGCTTGCCCGCACGAGCACAAACAAGCCAGCACGAGCACAAACAAGCCCGCACAAGCACAAACAAGCCCGCACGAGCACAAACAAGCCCGCACAAGCACAAACAAGCCAGCACGAGCACAAACAAGCCCGCACAAGCACAAACAAGCCCGCACGAGCACAAACAAGCCCGCACGAGCACAAACAAGCCCGCACGAGCACAAACAAGCCTTCACAAGCACAAACAAGCCCGCACAAGCACAAGCAAGCCTCCACAAGCCTGCAACTTGAGCGCATGATCCGTGTGCGCTCCTTAAGGGGGGGTTTCTTATCCCCCTTATCCCCATCGCCCATCTTCCCATGCTCCATCCCGTTCCCCAGGTACCTGAACGGGTGGGCGGGGCACTACCGGCAGTCCATTGTTCTCTCCGCCTTCTCCCACCCCTGTGAGCTTCATTCAACACTCCCTTCCTTCTGTGAGTGTTCTGGGGCGACCCTTCCCTTCCCCTGTCCTTGCTCCTGCCTGCCTCGTTCCCTCTTGCTCGCCCCCTGCCTATCACCTCCACGCATGTACTAGTCTCCGTTGCTCCTCCTTCTTGACTTGACAACTCCCAGAAATTACCCATTTTGAAAAGATTTACAAAATGACAGCTTTATTCATTCTCAAAGGCAAGCCAGCAGAGTGGGGGGTCGACGATGCCCGTCCCCTCTCCTACCCCCCACTCGAGGAGAGGACGGTGGGGGGTATGTCTCTCCTCCGTCCTCTCCCCTCTCCTACCTCCGAGGTGAGGGGTCCTCCGTCCTCTCCCCTCTCCTACCTCATCCTCTTCGATCGTCCCCTCGTCTACCGTCTCCGTTCCTCCCTCCCCTCCCTTATCCAGCCATCAACGCTCTGTTTCACCGGTCCTGCTGCAACTTCTCAGGCAAGGTATGCAGTACAGCACATCCCACGCACTCTTACTCCTACTGCTGCATGTCCCACACAGAGTTTCCATACAGTGCCTCTTTTAACACAGGTGCAGCAGGTGTTTGACCGCATTGACTGCGTTGACTGCACTTTCATCACATAGTCACTCCCCCACTCCCGCTCCCCCACTCCCGCTCCCCTCCCACAAACAGGTGAAGCTTCTGTCAGAGTACGCAGGAGTGTTGGCCCTGGTGGTCCCGCAGGTGCAGCAGGTGTTTGACCGCGTTGACTGCATTGACCCTACTATTCTTATCACATCTCCTTGCCCCTACTCGCCCCCAACAGGTGAAGCTTCGATCCGAGTACGCAGGAGTGCTGGCCCTGGTGGTACCGCAGGTGCAGCAGGTGTTTGACCGCGTTGACTGCACTGCCATCACAGCAGCAGCAGAGGCGCGCTTCCAGTTCTTCGTCTCCACCATCTTCCCGCGCCTCCGCGACTCAGTCCAGGTGAGCCCTCCTCCAGTGCCTGTGATATTCTTCTCGTTTTTTCTCTTTTCTTGTCCTTCTCTACCAGCCAGCTGCAGCAGCAGAGGCGCGCTTCCAGTTCTTCGTCTCCACCATCTTCCCCTGTCTTCGAGACTCAGTCCAGGTGAACCCTCCTCCTGTGCGCTCCAAAAAAAGCAGAGGCAGCTGTTAAGTTAACTCAAAGGGTCCGCTCAGGTGAGGCTCCCCTCTGTTCTTAAGAGGCACCGCAGTCGCAGCAGCAGCAGCAGAGGCGCGCTTCCAGTTCTTCATCTTTTGAGGCGCCTCAAAAGTCGTTTCAGTTCTTCTTCGTCTCCACCATCTTCCCACGCCTCCGCGACTCCGTCCAGGTAAGCCCCCTGTGCCTTTAGTTTGTATTTCTTTTCTTTTCTTTTACCTTATTTTCGTAAGAGGCAGCTGCACTGCAGCAGCAGGGGCGCGCTTTCAGTTCTTCTTCGTCTCCACCATCTTCCCTTGCCTCCGCGACTCCGTCCAGGTGACGGCCGCCTTCCTATTGAATTTTGTTTGATTATTTATCATCCCAACACAGTCAGGGGCGTCGGTCCATGTTCACAGTATGCCTCGTGTGTTGCGATGAGAAAACGGATACAAATTAATGAATGTATTATTTTATATATATATACATATATGTACATATATATCCATATATATACATACATAACTTGTTCTCACCTTCCTTGTTTCATCTCTCAATGATCCATTCCAATCATTCCCCCTACTCTTTCCGTCACTCTCTCGCCCACTCCTTCCCCCATTCTCCCGCTCACTCTTCACCAGGGGGGCGTGCTGGTATACACGCAGTCCTACTTTGAGTTTGTGCGCCTCCAGAACTTCTTCAAGCAGGAGAATCTCTCCTTTCCCTCCACTCTTCCGCTATTCTCTCCCCCACTCTCCCCCCCAACAATGCACACACCAGGGGGGCGTGCTGGTATACACGCAGTCCTACTTTGAGTTTGTGCGCCTCCGAAACTTCTTCAAGCAGGAGAACCTCTCCTTCTGCCTCCTCTCCGAGTGAGTAGCACGCCCCTCTTTTGAGGCTCCTCCTTCATTCCGCAATTTTCGCCCCTGCTCCTCTTATTCCCTCTCCTACTCCTTCTCTCCTCGACTTTGCTATCCACCCTTTCCCTGTCTCCGTCCAGAAGTTTTTGCCTCTTCTCTTCCACTTCCTCCCACATCCTCCCACATCCTCCCACATCCTCCCACATCCTCCCACATCCTCCCACATCGTCCCACTTCCTCCCACATCCTCCCACATCCTCCCACATCCTCCCACATCCACCTGGCCCCCCCTCTCAAGCGGTCTTTGTATTGACAAAATGGTTGTACAAATAATGTCTCACTCCCTCCCCCCTTCCCCTCGTCTGACCTCAAACCTCTTTTCTTCCCATCTCCCCCCTCACCCCCAGGTACACAGACGAGCGCAATGTGCATCGGGCGAGGGCAGGGTTCTTCCAGGCACTAAGCTCTGCCTTGCCGCTCAATCCCCTCCCGATCCCACCCACCCTCTTCCCCTTCCCCCCCTTCCCCCTTCGCCTTCCGCCCGCCCCCGCCCCTCCCCCCCAGGTACACGGACGAGCGCAACGTGGACCAGGCGAGGGCAAGAGCGTGGTTCTTCCATGATGTGAGCCAAGTTTTGAGGCGCCTCAAAAATAGATGTTGAGGCGCCTCAAAACTACTCTTTTTACACGTGCCTCAAAACTAGACGAGCGCAACGTGCACCGGGCAAGAGCGTGGTTCTTCCATGATGTGAGCCATGCGCTGTTTCATTCCCCCCCCTTACCCCTCCTCTTTCCTCCCCTCCCCTTGTTCCCCTCCCCTCTCTGCAGGTACACGGACGAGCGCAACGTGCATCGGGCGAGGGCATGGTTCTTTCAGAACCGGCGGCGCATCATGCTGTACTCGGAGCGATCGCACTTCTACCACCGCTACCGGGTACTGGCACTGGCAGGGCACACACCATTCCTTCACATCACTTTTGAGAGTTCTTGAATGGGATACAAGCACATGCGTGCTGCATCATGCTGTACTCGGAGCGATCGCACTTCTACCACTGCTACCGGGTACTGGCAGGAATTTCGGGTTCTGCTAGGGGTTTTGGGTTTTGGGTCCCGATCGGGTTTTGGGTTTAGGGTTTCAGGTTTCGGGTTCTGTTAGGTACTTGTAGCTCGCCGCGTCTCTCGAGTCCTGGTTCAAAGGAGTCACCGCTCGTTACTCAAAACTCGAAATGGTCACCGCTGTGTTGGTGTTGCTTTTGAGAATTCTCAGGGCGCGGCAGGCACCTCTAGGGAAATTGCCAGGATGGGGGGGGGATCGGGGCCTCACACCGGTTTAGGCACATCGATCGGCACACCGATGTGTCCACACTGCAGATTTGCAATTGCCTGGACACACCGACCGAGCCACAGGTGACAGGATCGAAAATATATGGGGCAAAATTGCCCGATCTCCACAACTACACGATCGATGTGTGGGTGCTGGCACGTCGATCGTGCGAGCCAGAGGTGCCACCATTATGGGCACCAATTTACTGTACACTTGCGAGGTGGGGCGAAACCGGATACCAGCCTGTTGGCGATGTCGCGATTTCACTGTACAAGCCAGGATCGATCCCCACTCAGGATCGATGCCGCGTCCTCAAGGTACCGACCCGATCCCTCCCTCACTGTTCCCCTAGTTTGTATGTTACACTCCTGCGTCTCATGGCTTTCTTTACTTGAAGAGAGATTGCACTTCTTCTGACACCACTACCAGGTGCCAGCTCACTTGTCATCACGTTTCCTGTAAGGGTTTATGCTGGCTGTTAGGGTTACTGCTGGTGGTTAGTGTTACTGGTGGTGGTTAGGGTTACTGCTGGCTGTTAGGGTTACTGCTGGCTGTTAGGTTTACTTCTGGCTGTTGTGTTACCACTAGTCCTTTGCCCTGCCCGTTTTCTCACATTCTCCTGCCCTGCCGTCTCCCTGCAACCACCCTCCCTGCCATCGCCCTACCCTGCCCACTCCCCTCCACCATCGCCCTACCCTGCCCACTCCCCTCCACCATCGCCCTACCCTGCCCACCAGATCCGGGGCATCCGGGAGGTGATCTTTTACTCGCTGCCGTGCTACCCTCACTTCTATGCTGAGGTGCGCGGGTGGTGGAGGGGATGAGACAGGGGGAAGGGGGGAAGTGGGGAGGTAAGATAAAGGGGGGAGGGAAGGGAAAGGGGAGGTCATCTTCTACTCGCTGCCGTGCTACCCACACTTCTATGCTGAGGTGCGCGGGTGGTGGAGGGGATGAGACAGGGGGGGGGGGAAGGGGAAGAGCGGAGGGAGTGGAAAGGGAATGGGGGGGGGAGGGCGAAGAGGGAGGCAGTATGCTGTGGAGGGTGTGTTTGGCTTGTTGGGATGAGAAGGAGAGGGGAGGGAAGGGGGAGGAGGGGAAGGGAGGAGAGGAGGTGTGGGAAGAGAGGGTGCAGGGGCAGGGGCTATCCTTGAACCGTAAACCCTGCTCTGAGGTTTGCTTTTCACTGCTTCTCGGTGTGACTTATTTACCCTCCGGCAGCCGGGCGTTTATGACTGCTTTGCAGGAGTTTCTGTGATCTGCAATATCTCCCCTAAACCCCCATCCCGTGTCCGTCTCTCGTCTTTCCCATTACCCCTCATCGCAGTTCCTCAACCCTTTAATAGGGGGGACAACGCGGTTGATAAAGGCTTCTCAAACCACCCCTGTCCCCTTCCCCTTGTGTCTTGTCACTCCCCAAACCCCTCATCGCAGTTCCTCAACCCTTTAATAGGGGGGACAACGCGGTTGATAAAGGCTTCTCAAACCACCCCTGTCCCCTTCCCCTTGTGTCTTGTCACTCCCCAAACCCCTCATCGCAGTTCCTCAACCCTTTAATAGGGGGGACAACGCGGTTGATAAAGGCTTCTCAAACCACCCCTGTCCCCTTCCCCTTGTGTCTTGTCACTCCCCAAACCCCTCATCGCAGTTCCTCAACCCTTTAATAGGGGGGACAACGCGGTTGATAAAGGCTTCTCAAACCACCCCTGTCCCCTTCCCCTTGTGTCTTGTCACTCCCCAAACCCCTCATCGCAGTTCCTCAACCCTTTAATAGGGGGGACAACGCGGTTGATAAAGGCTTCTCAAACCACCCCTGTCCCCTTCCCCTTGTGTCTTGTCACTCCCCAAACCCCTCATCGCAGTTCCTCAACCCTTTAATAGGGGGGACAACGCGGTTGATAAAGGCTTCTCAAACCACCCCTGTCCCCTTCCCCTTGTGTCTTGTCACTCCCCAAACCCCTCATCGCAGTTCCTCAACCCTTTAATAGGGGGGACAACGCGGTTGATAAAGGCTTCTCAAACCACCCCTGTCCCCTTCCCCTTGTGTCTTGTCACTCCCCAAACCCCTCATCGCAGTTCCTCAACCCTTTAATAGGGGGGACAACGCGGTTGATAAAGGCTTCTCAAACCACCCCTGTCCCCTTCCCCTTGTGTCTTGTCACTCCCCAAACCCCTCATCGCAGTTCCTCAACCTGCTCGAAGGGGGGAACAACGCTGATAAGGGCTGCTCCGCTCTCCTGCCCCTGCCTTCCCTATCCCCCACCCCCTTTCGTGCCTCCCTGAACCCCTCGTCGCAGTTCCTCAACCTGCTCGAAGGGGGGAACAACGCTGATAAGGGCTGCTCCGCTCTCCTGCCCCTGCCTTCCCTATCCCCCACCCCCTTTTCGTGCCTCCCTGAACCCCTCGTCGCAGTTCCTCAACCTGCTGGAATGGGGAGACAACGCGGCTGTTAGGGGCCCCTTAACGCCGCTCTCTTGCACCCTGCGTTCCCTAACTCCCTGCCTCCTCTCGTCTCTCCCTGAACCCCTCTACTCAGATCCTCAATCTGCTGGATAGTACGGACAACGCAGCTGATAGAGGCCCCTTAAAGCCGCTGACTTGCCCCTGCCTTCCCTAACCCGCTCGCCTCACTCCTGTCTTGTCTCTCCTTATACCCCCCTTTACTCAGATCCTCAACCTGCTGGAAGGGGTGGACAATGCCTCCTGCTCCGCCATTTTCACTCGCTTTGATAACCTCGAGGTCAGCCTCTGCTTTGCACCCCCCCTCTCATGCACACCCACACACCTTCTCACACTTGACTAACCTCGAGGTCAGCCTCTGCTTTGCACCCCCCCTCTCATGCACACCCACACACCTTCTCACACTTGACTAACCTCGAGGTCAGCCTCTGCTTTGCACCCCCCCTCTCATGCACACCCACACACCTTCTCACACTTGACTAACCTCGAGGTCAGCCCCTGCTCTGCACACCCCCTCTCATGCACACCCACACACTTCAATAAACCTCGAGGTCAGCCTCTGCTTTGCACCCCCCCTCTCATGCACACCCACACACCTTCTCACACTTGACTAACCTCGAGGTCAGCCCCTGCTCTGCACCCCCCCTCTCATGCACACCCACACACTTCAATAAACCTCGAGGTCAGCCTCTGCTTTGCACCCCCCCTCTCATGCACACTCACACACTTCCTCACACTCTTACAACCTGGAGCACTCTCACGTGCTCCTGTTTCCGTTCTCTGCTCCCTGCTGCCCACTTGCTCCTGTTTCCTGCTGCCCTCTTGCACTTATCCTCTATTGCCTTTTCAAGGCAGCCTTATGGCTGGGTGAGCTCTTGTGGATTACTGACCTAACAGCACCCATTGATCCTCTTATCTCTATTCCAACTGTGGGGTGTACATGCGTGTGTCTTGCTGGATGGCAAATCGTATCAAATGATGACAGCTGGCAAGGATCGTGGGATCTTCTAGAAGCACCAGGATGCTGCAATCACCCAACCACACCTTCATGTTCTGCTGATTGGTCACCCACACGTTTATCTCTGCTGATAGGTCAGGGCAACTGTATGTGGGCAGTTTCCAGCCCTAATTCATATTCAGCTTATGCTTTCTTTGTAATGTAGTTAATGCAAATATGTTACCGTAGATAAACTATTACCTTGTGCTTTCCTATGGCAGCTGCCAGCTGAATTAACAGTATCTATTCGGCGTGTGACTGCTTATAAGCGTTGCTGGATATTTAGAAGGTACCTATGCAATGAATGGCTAACATCTTCCATTTTTTTATCCAAGGCAGTGTCATTGCAACATTACTCTTTAAAGCTGGATTCACCAATCATTTATTACAATAACTGCACCCGCAATGTGCGGGCACTATGGCAGCACGCCTTCGGTCTGGTGAAAAGAGGCAGAAACACGGGACGCGCCCAGCACGTCCGTAACCTGTCGCCGTTCCTCCTCGTCTAAGTAGCTACCTACGAGGTAATTACCGGTAACTGCTAGATTTTGACCGTTACATTACATCCATCCGGCGATGAACGAAGCAAGGCCATTGCGAGAGCTCTTCGCCTTTGCCACACTGCTGGAACCAGAAACCTTTTCCGAAGCTTCGTCGGCGCTGCTCTGCTTGCTCGTCTTGCCAAAGAATCCCTTCTTTGAGTGGTGTGCAGGCGCTTTGGCAGCCTTCACTGGCTCGTATTTCGCGCGGTACGAGGCGGCGAGCTCGTCGTGCTGGCACGGCTGCGCGGCCGCCGGGCAGCCGCAAAAATCATCTGCTTCCGCTGAGCAGTCGTGCGAAAAGTCCTCAAAGGTTCGGTTCATCCAGTTAGCCGCTGCGACGGCCTGCTGCGTCTCGACGACGGCGAGGGCCGCGTTGCGAATTCGCGAGCGAGCGTCGTCGACCCACACTGGGTCGCACGCGAGCTCAGCTTCCCAGCACGACGCGCCGCTGCTGGCGCGACTCCCGTCCGATGAATTGGAGTCTAGGGAGAACCGCGAGGTATGATAACGGTCCGAGTCAGAATCGTAGTCGTCAGCGTCGCTCGCGCCGCTACCGCCGGCGTAGAGATTTTCGGCGCGAGTGGAAGGGTACAGAGACGTATAACGTTCCCATTGGCTGTCGATATCTGCGTCCCAAGGCGAGGAGATCGCCGCTGCTGTTCCTGTGTGATCCATTGTTATTGGAAACTCTTAGGGTATTATGAATCGTCTGAGGGAGTCTGTAGACTGGTTATGTCGCTGAACGCTGGAAGGCGAGGGGGTTCTGGTTGAGCTGGCTAGTGAAAGGCTGGCTTTGGAGCATCTGTTGATGCAATAATGTGTGAAGCCATGTGGTTTTATGTGTTGCTGGTTTGCTAGCTCGGCTGCTCCGCGTGCTCCTCCTGCTCCTGCTGCTGCTCTTGCTCACATGACAAACCCTCTCGTCTCCGCTCACCCCCCTTGCGGAAGCTCGTCCGCCAGGCGATTTTCATCATTTCCGCCACCCGCCCCCACCCTTCCCCGCCCCTTCCTCTGCCCCTGTTTCCGCTCAACCCAAGCATCCCAACGGTTATTCAAGTTCTGTGGTCCTTGTACCCACGCGCATTAAAACCAAATCTTTTTCCTCCACACCCCCGTAGAATCAAAACCACGCGCCACCAACTGCCTGCCAGAGGGGTAAAATCACCACCCCAGTGGTCCCCAGCCCCTAATCCACCTGACCTGTCTCCGACCGAAAGTCTTCCTCCCGCTAACACTTCCTATCCATTCATCACTTTCACCTCGGTTCTTCACAGCCTCGAACTTGATCGTTTTCTTGCACACTGTTGTACATGTCAGCATCTGACGCTTTTGAAATCCAAGGGCGGTGTGGCAGCTGTGTTACAACCACACCCTCTTGTTATCGATTCGATTCCAGGTCATTGACAGTCTGGCAAGGGATGAGGCAATGACGTGTTGCATGAGGGAAGCGATCCGAAACAAGCGTCTCCGAGGAGAAGCTAGAAGCTTGAGGAGCGATTCGGTGACATGGCTGCATATGCACCTCTCAAGTGCGAATTGGAATCCGTTTCAGCGCCATTAGGAAGCCAAAACGTCGATGGACGATCGGTGAGGCTGTCAGAGAAGCGCGGACCACACACCGTACTTGCACCATAAATGCACAACCAACTGCCCAAGAACAAACATTAATGTGCCCAGATCTGCCTTCGCCCAATCTGTACAGTTTCCGAATGGTACAGAATGGGGGGGTCGCATGAAAACTTTGGAACTCATGAGTGCCTGGTTTTGGGCAACAGAGAACGATCTAAATGTTGCTTGCCTGAAAGCAACCCTCGCCTTGCTATGCTCAGCAAACAAGGAAAAGATTCAGGCGCGATGTCGGAAAACACCAACCGCATCTTTGGTCTACACCAAGGCTGGCGAAAGCTCCATTGTACACGGCCAGAAATCAAATTAGAATGAGAGGCTGACAATTTGATCCAAATCGAACTACACCCTCTTTCTCACCTATCTCACCGGCGGAAACACTGGCTACAGTGCTTACGTGTGCTTGGACCCTAGCGGTCTGGTACATGCAACCGAACCCAAGGTAGGTGCGGGCAAACGCACTCCAAAAAAACCGTACACAACGGTTCGTGGAAGAAACCTGGCTTTGCGTACGATTGAGTGCGGCAAATGTGCTTATATGGTATGTTCTGGGACCATTCTGGACGCATTGATGTCAGTACAACCGGCTTATCAATATGGCGAATGTCAGTGTGGCGCGAAAGAGGGTGTACACAGGCTGTCCACAAGTTGCGGGCTATGATCATGCTCCTGAGGTCTCCAGCTGCAGTGCAGTTCATTCTTCGAGGCTCTGGACGGTTCCATACGGTGGAAATCAGCTATTTAGCTTCACCTTAATGCATCGCTAATCAACACTTAGACCTCAAATAAAGTAGAAGTATACGACTTGGGCAGACCCACACCTTCCAAGTCGGCAAGGTGTTGAATGTGGCCGTGGTTACTATGATGTCGTCCAGGTACGCCCTGCCGCAATGATATAAAAGAGGGCGAAAAGCTTCGTTCATTCTTTGCCATTTGGAAGGCGGTTGGCATATTGGTCATTTTGAAGGGTGCAGGTGTGGAAGGCGGCCTTTTCAGTCAGTCAGGTTGACACGGATAACAAATATTGCTTTTTAGAAAGTTCTGAGTTAAATAAACAGTGGTTTAGCGAGCATTTGCCGAGCTCTGTTGGCCCAATGTGATAATAAGGTATTAAGGTCCCAAGAAGTACGCAGAACGGAATGGTTGATTAGGAAAGGTGGTGGGTACAAATGCAAACCCTAACAACCTATACTCTATAATGCATGCATCGCTACAGCCTAGAACATACGAATATATATGTTCGACATGAAGGTACGTTCTTGTCAAATGTTGTTATGTGTTCTTAGGCCACAGTGAGTAGCACTCTAAGGAGTACAATACTTTGTGTATCCCTTGCTTCCCTAGTTAAATCATTCCGTTGTGCATGCTTCTTAAGATGGTATCAGTTAGGTTCGTTCCTACCTAGCCTCGCCTAGCCCGTGTTCGCGCCCTCCGCGCCCTAGCGCCCTCCGCGCCTTAGATCCCTCCGCGCCCTCCGCGCTCTCGCGCCCTCCGCGCCCTCAGCGCCCTAGCGCCCTCCGCGCCCTCCGCGCCCTAGCCCGTCGCCCCAGCCCGCGCCCCAGCCCGTCACCCCAGCCCGCGCCCCAGCCCGTCGCCCCAGCCCGCGACCTAAACCGTCGCCCTTGCCCGCGACCTAACCCGCGCCCTCGCCCTAGCGACAGACCGCGCCCTCGCCCTCAGCAGCGCCCTAGCCCTAGGCCGCGCCCTGCCCTGAGCCGCGCTCTGCCCTAGGCCGCGCCTGCCCTAGCTCGCACCGTCCGCGCCTAGCCCGTTCACGCGCCCTACCCGCGCCCTCGCCCTTAGCCCGCGCCCCTTAGCTCGCTACCCG